TGACAGACACAGCAAACCTTCTTGCCACAGCTCGCATTTATGTGCCATCCTGGATGAGCTGCACTACCTGAGCCACTTGTGTGGGTTGTAGACTACGTCTCATGCTACCACTAGAGTGAAAGCACCGCCAGCATTCAAAAGTGACCAAAACATCAGCCAGGAAGCATAGGAACTGAGAAGTGGTCTGTGGTCACCACCTGCAGAACCACTTCTTTATTGGGGGTGTCTTGCTAATTGCCTGTAATTTCCACCTGTTGTCTATTCCATTTGCACAACAGCATGTGAAATTTATTGTCAATCAGTGTTGCTTCCTAAGTGGACAGTTTGATTTCACAGAAGTGTGATTGACTTGGAGTTACATTGTGTTGTTTAAGTGTTCCCTTTATTTTTTTGAGCAGTGTATTAGGCTTGGGCGGTATACTGTGTACCGGGGTATTTGGAAATAGCCACTGGATGGTTTTTCAATACCGTCAGTTATCTGTACAGCTGCCACTATCTTCATTTCCTTCAGTTGTTTTTCCTCTCTCTCCGTTCTCACCCGTCTTCTCCGAGCAGAGCAGGCAGTCCCGTTGCCCTAGCGACTCCAGACTCCACACAGACACAGCGTGTACACATGCTGCTCCAGAGCCTGTCCTTCCTTTAGACAAGCATGTGTCAAAACTTTGTTCATTTGCTTGGAACCAAACAGAACCAAATGGAACAGGGAGGGACCCTCCACGAATTTGTCCAATAGAAAGTCTTGTTTTCGCTGCAAAACGTTTTCCGTTTACAACTGTTTGCTACGGTTTGGACTAATGATTTACAACCCTGGCTAAATTCCCAGTATGGCCCTCATGCCATCATTGCCACCTAATCATCCCCAGCTTCCAATTGGCTCATTTATCCCCTCTCCTTTCCCCTGTAACTCTTCCCCAGGTTGTTTCTGTAAAAGAGAATATGTTCTTGTCAACGTACCTGGTAAAATAAGGGTTAATAATAACACTACTGTACAGAAAAGCAGGTAGTCTGTGTGCAGCTCGTTTTAAAAGCAGCCAGTTCAGCAGCTAGGTACATTACACAGTAGCCGTGTGCATGACAGCAAGCAGCAGACTAGTAGACACTGATCAATGCTCTGCTTGCTCACTAGGTTCCACTAAAGCAGATATGTGGATCAGCCAATGCTGTTGGCATCAGTAGATTCTAGATCCACACCTTGTGAAGCAGCAGAGTGTTCTGGGTCACTGATTGATGTTATCTGCTCCAGGCAGCTCCTCTGTAAGGAAGAGTTGTGTACAATCCTGTGCTCTGTATGATCTGGTGGAGGCCGACTGATCTGGTCCTGTTGTTTTCTGCTTGTCTTTTTGATTGTCTTGTTCTGATCTGTTGTTTTCTGCTTGTCTGTTGTTTTCTGCTTTTGTTTATCCTGTTCTGGTCATGTTGGTCGCTGTCTCTTGTTTTGTCTGTTTTCTGCTTGTCTCTGATCTGGTCCTGTTGTTTTCTGCTCTTCTTTGCAGGTATTAAAAAGTATGTTGTTGGACTTATTATCAAAACCTCATCGGACGCTACGATGGTCGAGGTGAGGGCTGAAATATTTGTCATGTTGGGAGATTAATATGAGTATGATCTTCCCTGTAAGATGGAGCTGGAAATAGTTACCGTTTTGATAACAGCCTATTTACGTTGACTCCGGTCTCATTTTTATTACAGAAAGAGAAAGTCTACATTGGAAAGCTGAACATGATCCTTGTTCAGGTAAGAGTGTGTTGCTGTTCTTCCATCTGTGAATGAACTAGGATCCTCTCTTTGTAAACTGGGACTCAGATGTACTGCTCAGCTTCATCTGGGCAAGAGTCCTCCAAACTGTGTATGTGTGTAACTGTGTGTGTGTGTGTTCATGCATATGTGTGTATACAGCTGACTGTAGCTGCATGAGTCACTGTGTCTGCGTCAGCTGATGTTGTTTTGTCCAGCATCTACAGTCTGTTCTGACATGCATGTGTGTGTGTGTGTGTGTGTGTGTGTAATTGTGGTAGTTTGGTGAACCACACACTTAAGGGATGAGTGACTTTCCCTGAGAGCAGCATTAGCTCCCAGAACTAATGATGGCTATAGGCTTTAGCTCAGCAAGCTAACGTACAGTGCCTTCAGAAAGTATTCACACCCCTTGACTTATTCCACATTTTGTTGTGTTACAGCCTGAATTCAAAATTGATTAAATTGTAAAAAAAAATCTCACCCATCTACACACGATACCCCATAATGACAGTGAAAACGTGTTTTTTAGAAATGTGTGCACATTTTTTATTTTAAAAAAATAATATGTTTATTATTTTCCAATAAAAAAAGAAGACCGATATACAAACATTGACATTGTAGTGTTGAATGGGATGGAACATTTAGAGGACAAAACAAAACTTAACTCCCATATACAAAAATAAAATAAAGAAATCCTGTTAGATGGTAGATATTCTAAGAAGACATCATATTTTCATTACAAGCTCCCGAGTGGCGCAGCGGTCTGAGGTCTAAGACACTGCATCTCAGCGGTCTAAGGCACTGCATCACAGCGGTCTAAGGCACTGCATCACAGCGGTCTAAGGCACTGCATCACAGCGGTCTAAGGCACTGCATCTCAGTGGTCTAAGGCACTGCATCACAGCGGTCTAAGGCACTGCATCTCAGCGGTCTAAGGCACTGCATCACAGCGGTCTAAGGCACTGCATCACAGCGGTCTAAGGCACTGCATCACAGCGGTCTAAGGCACTGCATCACAGCGGTCTAAGGCACTGCATCACAGCGGTCTAAGGCACTGCATCTCAGCGGTCTAAGGCACTGCATCTCAGCGGTCTAAGGCACTGCATCACAGCGGTCTAAGGCACTGCATCACAGCGGTCTAAGGCACTGCATCACAGCGGTCTAAGGCACTGCATCTCAGCGGTCTAAGGCACTGCATCTCAGCGGTCAAAGGCACTGCATCTCAGCGGTCTAAGGCACTGCATCTCAGCGTTCTAAGGCACTGCATCTCAGCGGCAGTGCTTGAGGGCGTCACTCAGACCCCCTGGTTTGATTCCAGGGCTGTATCACAACCGGCCGTGATTGGGAGTCCCATAGGGCGGCGCACAATTGGCCCAGCGTCGTCCGTGTTTGGCCGGTGTAGGCAGTCATTGTAAATAAGAATTTGTTCTTAACTGACTTGCCTAGTTAAATAAAGGTAAAATTAAATTAAAATAAACAAGCAGTGTAGTTAAACCAAAAATAAATGTTGAGTGGAGTACAGCACAGAGTAGCAGCAGATCATCAACCCAGTTATGAAGGGGGAACAGACAATTTATCCAGTATCGGCTGCCATATTTTGTAAAACATTGGATTTCTATTGCAGGTATTGTATCGAATCTTGTGCACATTTATTGAAAATGAAATACAGAAATATCTCATTCACATAAGTATTCACATCCCTGAGTCAATACATGTTACAATCACCTTTGGCAGCGGTTACAGCTGTAAGTCTTTCTGGGTAAGTCTCTAAGAGCTTTCCACACCTGGATTGTACAATATTTTGCCCATTATTATTTTTCAAAATTCTTCAAGCTCTGTCAAATTGGTTGTTGATCATTGCTAGACAACAATTTACAAGTCTTGCCATAGATTTCCAAGCAGATTTAAGTCAAAACTGTAACTTGGTCGCTCAGGAACATTCACTGTCTTCTTGGTAAGCAACTCCAGTGTAGATTTGGCCTTGTGTTTTAGGTTATTGTCCTGCTGAAAAGGGAATGAATCTCCCAGTGTCTGGTGGAGAGCAGACTGACCCTGAAAAGCTCCCTTGCCAATGACAAGCATACCCATAACATGATGCAGGCACTACTATGCTTGAAAATATGGAGAGTGGTACTCAGCAATGTGTTGTATTGGATATGCCCCAAACATAACACTTTTTATTCAGGACAAAAAGTTAATTGCTTTGCCACATTTCTTTGAAGTATTACATTAGTGCCTTGTTGCAAACAGGATGCATGTTTTTGCATTTTTTTTTTTCTTCTTCTGTACAGGCTTCCTTCTTTTCACTCTGTCATTTAGGTTAGTATTGTGGAGTAACTACAATGTTGTTGATTCATCCTCAGTTTTCTCCAATCATAGCCATTAAACTCTGTAACTGTTTTAAAGTCACCATTGGCCTCATGGTGAAATCTCTGAGCGGTTTCCTGCCTCTCCGGCAACTGATTCAGGAAGGACGCCTGTATCTTTATAGTGACTGGGTGTATTGATACACCATACAAAGTGTATTTAATAACTTCACCTTGCTCAAAGGGGTAGTCAATGTCTGTTTTTTTTTTTTTTATTTTTTTTTTACCCATCTACCAATCAGTGCCCTTCTTTGCGAGGCATTGGAAAACTTCCCTGGTCTTTGTGGTTGAATCTGTGTTTTGAAATTCACTGCTCGACTGAGGGACCTTACAGATAATTGTATGTGTGGGGTACAGAGATGAGGTAGTCATTCAAAAAGAATGTTAAACACTATTATTTCACACAGAGTGAGTCCATCCAATTTATTATGTGACTTGTTAAGCACATTTTTACTCCTGAACTTATTCAGGCTTGTCATAACAAAGGGCTTGAATACTTATTGACTCAAGACATTTCAGCGTTTTCATTTTTTATTAATTTGTAAAAAAAAATAAAAATAAACTAGTGACAAAAAAATTGCACTTTCATTCATTTTAACTTCAGGCTGTAACACAACAAAATGTGGAAAAGTAAAGGGGTGTGAATCCTTTCTAAAGGGGTGTGAATCCTTTCTAAAGGCTCTGTAGTCTTGTAGTGTGCAGACAACATGGGTTCAAACCTAATTGGTCACACTTGTGTGTGTGTGTGTGTGTGTGTGTGTGTGTGTGTGTGTGTACCTACAGTAGGTCTTTATAGTGTGTTTTTCTGAGAGTGCGCGCGAATTTGCATGTATTAATGATTGTATATATTAATGTGTGTGTGTGTGTGTGTGTGTGTGTGTGTTCCCCTCCTCCCTCCAGATCCTGAAGCAGGAATGGCCCAAGCACTGGCCCACGTTCATCAGTGACATCGTGGGAGCCAGCCGCACCAGCGAGAGCCTCTGTCAGAACAACATGATCATCTTGAAGCTGCTCAGCGAGGAGGTGTTTGACTTCTCTAGTGGACAGATGACCCAGGTCAAGGCCAAGCACCTCAAAGACAGGTCATATAGAAATATACTGGATATCTTAATATAGTATATCTTTTTTATATACATTTGTAATAATGTTTTATATACCATTTAGCAGACGCATTGATCCAAAGCCACTTAGTCATGCGTATATACATTTTCCGTATGGGTGGCCCCGGGAATCGAACCAACAATCCTGGCTTTGCATGCGCCATGCTCTACCAACTGAGCCATACATACAGGACCACACTCTTGTATATAATGTAGCACCTCAAAGCTGTTAGCGCCATGCTCTAACCCGAGAGCTGTTAGCGCTGTGCTCTACCGAGAGCTGTTAGCGCCGTGCTCTACCGAGAGCTGTTAGCGCCGTGCTCTACCGAGAGCTGTTAGCGCCGTGCTCTACCGAGAGCTGTTAGCACCGTGCTCTACCGAGAGCTGTTAGCCCCCGTGCTCTCTACCGAGAGCTGTTAGCGCCGTGCTCTACCGAGAGCTGTTAGCGCCGTGCTCTACCGAGAGCTGTTAGCGCCGTGCTATACCGAGAGCTGTTAGCGCCGTGCTCTACCGAGAGCTGTTAGCGCCGTGCTCTACCGAGAGCTGTTAGCGCCGTGCTCTACCGAGAGCTGTTAGCGCCGTGCTCTACCGAGAGCTGTTAGCGCCGTGCTCTACCAAAATGTTAGTATAGCTGAGAAAAGACTAGAACTTAAAACATAGCGGTCTTCTGATATGCGCAGTGTGAATGCTTCCAGGTAGCAGACTCGCTGTGCATATCAGAAGATTAGGCAATGTTATCATTGTGGATCCTGAGATCTGATAATCAGTGCAGTGGGTCTGCAGTAAAGACAACCTGGAATGCGCCCCTTGTCTGCATCTCAGACAGTAATGCCCTACATACAGTGGGGAAAAAAAGTATTTAGTCAGCCACCAATTGTGCAAGTTCTCCCACTTAAAAAGATGAGAGAGGCCTGTAATTTTCATCATAGGTACACGTCAACTATGACAGACAAATTGAGAAAAAGAAATCCAGAAAATCACATTGTAGGATTTTTAATGAATTTATTTGCAAATTATGGTGGAAAATAAGTATTTGGTCACCTACAAACAAGCAACATTTCTGGCTCTCACAGACCTGTAACTTCTTTAAGAGGCTCCTCTGTCCTCCACTCGTTACCTGTATTAATGGCACCTGTTTGAACTTGTTATCAGTATAAAAGACACCTGTCCACAACCTCAAACAGTCACACTCCAAACTCCACTATGGCCAAGACCAAAGAGCTGTCAAAGGACACCAGAAACAAAATTGTAGACCTGCACCAGGCTGGGAAGACTGAATCTGCAATAGCTAAGCAGCTTGGTTTGAAGAAATCAACTGTGGGAGCAATTATTAGTAAATGGAAGACATACAAGACCACTGATAATCTCCCTCGATCTGGGGCTCCACGCAAGATCTCACCCCGTGGGGTTAAAATGATCACAAGAACGGTGAGCAACAATCCCAGAACCACACGGGGGGACCTAGTGAATCACCTGCAGAGAGCTGGGACCAAAGTAACAAAGCCTACCATCAGTAACACACTACGCCGCCAGGGACTCAAATCCTGCAGTGCCAGACGTGTCCCCCTGCTTAAGCCAGTACATGTCCAGGCCCGTCTGAAGTTTGCTAGAGTGCATTTGGATGATCCAGAAGAGGATTGGGAGAATGTTATATGGTCAGATGAAACCAAAATAGAACTTTTTGGTAAAAACTCAACTTGTCGTGTTTGGAGGACAAATAATGCTGAGTTGCATCCAAAGAACACCATACCTACTGTGAAGCATGGGGGTGGAAACATCATGCTTTGGGGCTGTTTTTCTGCAAAGGGACCAGGACGACTGATCCGTGTAAAGGAAAGAATGAATGGGGCCATGTATCGTGAGATTTTTAGTGAAAACCTCCTTCCATCAGCAAGGGCATTGAAGATGAAACGTGGCTGGGTCTTTCAGCATGACAATGATCCCAAACACACCGCCCGGGCAACGAAGGAGTGACTTCGTAAGAAGCATTTCAAGGTCCTGGAGTGGCCTAGCCAGTCTCCAGATCTCAACCCCATAGAAAATCTTTGGAGGGAGTTGAAAGTCCATGTTGCCCAGCGACAGCCCCAAAACATCACTGCTCTAGAGGAGATCTGCATGGAGGAATGGGCCAAAATACCAGCAACAGTGTGTGAAAACCTTGTGAAGACTTACAGAAAACGTTTGACCTGTGTCATTGCCAACAAAGGGTATATAACAAAGTATTGAGAAACTTTTGTTATTAACCAAATACTTATTTTCCACCATAATTTGCAAATAAATTCATTAAAAATCCTACAATGTGATTTTCTGGATTTTTTTTTCTCATTTTGTCTGTCATAGTTGACGTGTACCTATGATGAAAATTACAGGCCTCTCTTATCTTTTTAAGTGGGAGAACTTGCACAATTGGTGGCTGACTAAATACTTTTTTCCCCCACTGTATCTCAGAGACTAGTAAACTCTCACCACAATCAATAGGCAAGAATGTCTGCACCATAGAGTTCTATTATCTGGTATGAGCTATGCTGTCCTCCAATGACACTTAAAGACAGATGGAATTGCAAATCAAAATAGAAATAGAAATCAAGTACTGAATCTGTCGTAACACTCACCATGTCTCTCTTTCAGCATGTGCAACGAATTCTCCCAGATATTCCAGCTCTGCCAGTTTGTCATGGTATGTGAAGCCTCTTCCTTTACCACAGACCATTTTATTATATATTATATTATAAACTGGGTGGTTTGAGCCCTGAATGCTGATTGGCTGAAAGCCGTGGTTTATCAGACCGTATACCATGGGTATGACAACATGTATTTTTACTGTTCTAATTACGTTAGTAACCAGTTTATAATAGCAATAAGGCACCTCTGGGGTTTGTGGTATATGGCCAATATACCACGGCAAATGGCTGTATCCAGGCACTCTGCGTTGTGTCGTGCATAAGAACAGCCCTTAGCCGTGGTATATTGGCCATATACCACACCTCCTCAGGCCTTGTTGCTTAAATAATATTTGCCATTTAGCAGATGCTTTTATCCAAAGCGACTTACAGTCATGCTTGCATACATTTTACGTACGGGTGGTCCCGGGAATCAAACCCACAATCCTGATGTTTCAAGTGCCATGCTCTACCAACTGAGTTACAGAGGACATAAACATAAATGCTACTTTTCCTCATCTCCCCTCCTCTGTTATGGTCTCCAGGAGAATTCCCAGAATGCACCACTGGTCCACGCCACTCTAGAAACGCTGCTGAGGTTTCTCAACTGGATTCCTCTGGGGTACATTTTTGAGACCAAACTCATCAGCACGCTCGTCTACAAGGTAGCTACCTCTCTCTCTCTCTCTCTGTTCACATCCGTCTCTAGTTCACTGCCATGGTCTAAATTCACCCATTTCCTAGGCGCTTGTGTAGGTAGACCACTAGGTGTGAAAGGATTTCCTAGGCCCTTGTGTAGGTAGACCACTAGGTGTGAAAGGATTTCCTAGGCGCTTGTGTAGGTAGACCACTAGGTGTGAAAGGATTTCCTAGGCCCTTGTGTAGGTAGACCACTAGGTGTGAAAGGATTGGATAGTTTCCATCTAGCCTAACCGAGGGCAAGGTAAAGCTATTGCCGTATTGCAAATACCAGTCCTTTTTAGAGTGTAGGGCAGTGTTTCCCAAACTTGGTCCTGGGGACCCAAAGGGGTGCACATTTGGCCCTAGCACTACACAGCTGACTCAAATAATCAATTCATCACCGAGCTTTGATTATTTGAATCAGCTGTGTAGTGCTAGGGCAAAAACCAAAACGTGCACCCCTTGGGTTCCCCGGGACTGAGTTTGGGAAACCCTGGTCTAGGGCTTGTTTCTGGACAGGCCCTCTCTCTCCAACACATGGGTTGTATTCTTCAGGTCAAGCACACCGATCGTAGCAAAACATGTTGCAACGGAAAACAAGCGTTTCAGTCTGTTTTCTTCTGTTTGGTGCCTAATGAATACAACCCTGGAACGTTAATGGAGAAGATGAGTGATTCCTCTTTTATAAATCCATTTCTGGGAGCATTCAGACAGAAGAGGACTGGCCACCCCTCATAGCCTGGTTCCTCTCTACCCAGTACAGCCAGGAGAGGACTGGCCACCCCTCTGAGCCTGGTTCCTCTCTACCCAGTACAGCCAGGAGAGGACTGGCCACCCCTCAGAGCCTGGTTCCTCTCTACCCAGTACAGCCAGGAGAGGACTGGCCACCCCTCTGAGCCTGGTTCCTCTCTACCCAGTACAGCCAGGAGAGGACTGGCCACCCCTCAGAGCCTGGTTCCTCTCTACCCAGTACAGCCAGGAGAGGACTGGCCACCCCTCTGAGCCTGGTTCCTCTCTACCCAGTACAGCCAGGAGAGGACTGGCCACCCCTCTGAGCCTGGTTCCTCTCTACCCAGTACAGCCAGGAGAGGACTGGCCACCCCTCAGAGCCTGGTTCCTCTCTACCCAGTACAGCCAGAAGAGGACTGGCCACCCCTCTGAGCCTGGTTCCTCTCTACCCAGTACAGCCAGGAGAGGACTGGCCACCCCTCTGAGCCTGGTTCCTCTCTACCCAGTACAGCCAGGAGAGGACTGGCCACCCCTCTGAGCCTGGTTCCTCTCTACCCAGTACAGCCAGGAGAGGACTGGCCACCCCTCAGAGCCTGGTTCCTCTCTACCCAGTACAGCCAGGAGAGGACTGGCCACCCCTCTGAGCCTGGTTCCTCTCTACCCAGTAGAGCCAGGAGAGGACTGGCCACCCCTCAGAGCCTGGTTCCTCTCTACCCAGTACAGCCAGGAGAGGACTGGCCACCCCTCAGAGCCTGGTTCCTCTCTACCCTGTACAGCCAGGAGAGGACTGGCCACCCCTCAGAGCCTGGTTCCTCTCTACCCTGTAGAGCCAGGAGAGGACTAGCCACCCCTCAGAGCCTGGTTCCTCTCTACCCTGTAGAGCCAGGAGAGGACTGGCCACCCCTCAGAGCCTGGTTCCTCTCTACCCAGTACAGCCAGGAGAGGACTGGCCACCCCTCTGAGCCTGGTTCCTCTCTACCCAGTAGAGCCAGGAGAGGACTGGCCACCCCTCAGAGCCTGGTTCCTCTCTACCCAGTACAGCCAGGAGAGGACTGGCCACCCCTCAGAGCCTGGTTCCTCTCTACCCTGTACAGCCAGGAGAGGACTAGCCACCCCTCAGAGCCTGGTTCCTCTCTACCCTGTAGAGCCAGGAGAGGACTAGCCACCCCTCAGAGCCTGGTTCCTCTCTACCCAGTACAGCCAGGAGAGGACTGGCCACCCCTCAGAGCCTGGTTCCTCTGTACCCAGTACAGCCAGGAGAGGACTGGCCACCCCTCTGAGCCTGGTTCCTCTCTACCCTGTACAGCCAGGAGAGGACTGGCCACCCCTCAGAGCCTGGTTCCTCTCTACCCAGTACAGCCAGGAGAGGACTGGCCACCCCTCTGAGCCTGGTTCCTCTCTACCCAGTACAGCCAGGAGAGGACTGGCCACCCCTCAGAGCCTGGTTCCTCTCTACCCTGTACAGCCAGGAGAGGACTAGCCACCCCTCAGAGCCTGGTTCCTCTCTACCCTGTAGAGCCAGGAGAGGACTAGCCACCCCTCAGAGCCTGGTTCCTCTCTACCCAGTACAGCCAGGAGAGGACTGGCCACCCCTCTGAGCCTGGTTCCTCTCTACCCAGTACAGCCAGGAGAGGACTGGCCACCCCTCAGAGCCTGGTTCCTCTCTAGGTTTCTTCCTAGGTTCCTGCCAAGGGACTTTCACTAGCCACTGTGCTTCTACATCTCCATTGCTTGCTCTTTGGGGTTTTAGGCTGGGTATCTGCAAAGCACTTTGTGACAACTGCTGATGTAAAAAGGGATTTATAAAATACATTTGATTGGTTGATTCTGTAGTTCCTGAACGTGCCGATGTTCCGTAACGTGACGTTGAAGTGTCTGACGGAGATCGCCGGCGTCAGTGTCAGCCAATACGAGGAGCAGTTTGTCAACCTCTTTACCCTCACCATGTGTCAGCTCAAACAGGTACACACACACACACACAGTGCTCCCAGCAGGTGTGGATCCCACTGTTGCCAACAAATGTAACACACACACACACACACATCAACACCCCCTGCACACACACACTTTTCAGTCAATCACACATACCTTCCTAATCGCCGATGTGTCCCTCCCCAGATGCTCCCCCTGAACACCAACATCCGCCTGGCCTATTCCAACGGTAAGGATGATGAGCAGAACTTCATCCAGAACCTCAGCCTGTTCCTCTGCACCTTCCTGAAGGAGCACGGACAGCTCATTGAGAAGAGGCCCAACCTCCGAGAGACACTCATGGAGGTAAGAAACATACAACTGATTATTCTGCCCTTACAACAACAGTTTCTCCCAAAACTGGTCTTACTTGATTCAAGCCACTGGTTACATCCTGGGACTGGTTGGGTGATAAAGGAGGACATCGGAAAAGGCCTGGTTTTCTTTACAACTCTTATTTCCATGCAACAAAGTTTCTCCTGAAACTTCACTTTTTACTTCCCTGGCAAGTTTCAGTTTCAAGTGTCCGTGTCAGTAGGCTTCAGAAAGGAAAAGGTTGAGAGGCCCTGTTTATACTGTTCTCTCTCTGACTGCACCTGTCCTCTCTGACTGCGCCTGTCCTCTCTGACTGCGCCTGTCCTCTCTGACTGCGCCTGTCCTCTCTGACTGCGCCTGTCCTCTCTGACTGCGCCTGTCCTCTCTGACTGCGCCTGTCCTCTCTGACTGCGCCTGTCCTCTCTGACTGCGCCTGTCCTCTCTGACTGTGCCTGTCCTCTCTCCAAGCTCTCTGACTGTGCCTGTCCTCTCTCCAAGCTCTCTGACTGTGCCTGTCCTCTCTCCAAGCTCTCTGACTGTGCCTGTCCTCTCTCCAAGCTCTCTGACTGTGCCTGTCCTCTCTCCAAGCTCTCTGACTGTGCCTGTCCTCTCTCCAAGCTCTCTGACTGTGTCTGTCCTCTCTCCAAGCTCTCTGACTGTGCCTGTCCTCTCTCCAAGCTCTCTGACTGTGCCTGTCCTCTCTCCAAGCTCTCTGACTGTGCCTGTCCTCTCTCCAAGCTCTCTGACTGTGCCTGTCCTCTCTCCAGCTCTCTGACTGTGCCTGTCCTCTCTCCAAGCTCTCTGACTGTGCCTGTCCTCTCTCCAAGCTCTCTGACTGTGCCTGTCCTCTCTCCAAGCTCTCTGACTGTGTCTGTCCTCTCTCCAAGCTCTCTGACTGTGCCTGTCCTCTCCAAGCTCTCTGACTGTGCCTGTCCTCTCTCCAAGCTCTGACTGTGCCTGTCCTCTCTCCAAGCTCTCTGACTGTGCCTGTCCTCTCTCCAAGCTCTCTGACTGTGCCTGTCCTCTCTCCAAGCTCTCTGACTGTGCCTGTCCTCTCTCCAAGCTCTCTGACTGTGCCTGTCCTCTCTCCAAGCTCTCTGACTGACTCAAGCCACTGGCCATGACCTGAAACTGGGTGTTCAATGGAGAAAAGGACATTTGAAAAGTAGTTTAGTTTACTTTATTTATTTGCACAAAAAAAGTGAAAGTTGTGCAGGTAGGTTGGAAACCAAAGAGGGCTTATATGAAAACCACTAAACAGTGTATATACATAGATTATTCAAATTAAACAAAGTAACCTCTCCTCACCCCACCTCCCCTCTCTCCTCACCCCCCCTCCCCTCTCTCCTCACCCCCTCACCCCTTCTCTCCTCACCCCCTCTCCCCTCTCCCCTCACCCCCTCTCTCCTCACCACCCTCTCCCCTCTCTCCTCACCCCCACCTCCCCTCTCTCCTCACCCCCCCTCCCCTCTCTCCTCACCCCCCCTCCCCCTCCCTCTCCTCACCCCCTCTCCCCTCTCTCCTCACCCCCTCTCCCCTCTCTCCTCACCCCCTCTCCCCTCTCTCCTCAGGCACTCCACTACATGCTACTGGTGTCTGAGGTAGAGGAGACAGAGATCTTTAAGATCTGTCTGGAGTACTGGAACCACCTGGCTGCAGAGCTCTACAGGGAGAGTCCCTTCTCCACCTCCACCTCCCCCCTGCTGTCCGGATCACAACACTTTGATGTCCCGCCTCGCAGACAGCTCTACCTGCCTGTGCTCTCTAAGGTGAGGAGACAGACAGCTCTACCTGCCTGTGCTCTCTAAGGTGAGGAGACAGACAGCTCTACCTGCCTGTGCTCTCTAAGGTGAGGAGACAGACAGCTCTACCTGCCTGTGCTCTCTAAGGTGAGGAGACAGACAGCTCTACCTGCCTGTGCTCTCTAAGGTGAGGAGACAGACAGCTCTACCTGCCTGTGCTCTCTAAGGTGAGGAGACAGACAGACTGACTGGGAGGCTGGCTGACAGACACAGACACACACACCCGCGCTCTTGCTCTCTGGGGGTCACAGAGGGTGTGGGGGGTGTGGGAGGGGAGCACAGTGTGTATGTGTGTGTGAGAGAGAGGGAGATAATTTGTTGGCATATGGTCAGAGTGTGTGTGGTGGAGAGAGTTTGTTGGCATGAAGTGTCTGTGTGTAGTCAGTGTGTGCCTGCCTGCGTTCGTGTGTCTCTGTGTGTGTCTCCGTGTGTGTCTCCGTGTGTGTCTCCGTCTGTGTCTCCGTCTGTGTCTCCGTGTGTGTCTCCATCTCCGTCTGTGTCTCCGTCTGTGTCTGTGTCTGTGTCTCCGTCTGTGTCTCCGTCTGTGTCTCCGTCTGTGTCTCCGTCTGTGTCTCCGTGTGTGTCTCTGTGTGTGTTGACTGCTGTTGATCTTGGTAACAGGTGCGTCTGCTGATGGTGAGCCGCATGGCCAAGCCAGAGGAAGTGCTGGTGGTGGAGAATGACCAGGGAGAGGTGGTCCGAGAGTTTATGAAGGATACAGACTCCATCAACCTCTACAAGAACATGAGAGAGACCCTGGGTACGTGGGGGGGGGGGGGGGGGGGGGTGGGGGGGGGGGGGGGGGGGGGGGGGTGCAGGAAACTGAGTGCAGGAACCAGACAAAGCAGGTGTTTGGAATTGTGTATGTGTGACTTTATACATTTTGACTGATTCTCTGTTTCCTTTCTGGATATCACATAACTGTACACCACTACATATCCAATAAGGACCATAGGATCTATTGAGTTGACTTACACTCTAAACTCTTTGTGACCGTCTCCTCTCTCTCGCTCGCTCGCTCCTGTCTCTCTCTCGCTCCTCTCTGTCTGCCTCCCTCCTCTCCTCTGTCTCCTCTCAGAGTGTCCGTAGCAGCACCGACAGCTCTACCTGCCTGTGCTCCGTGAGGAGCGCGGCATGCGCTATGCGTCAGAGACTTGTCGCCTCTGCCTCTGCTCTGGGGTACAGGGGGGGGGAGAGCCCATGGCTAGAGAGGAGTATTTGTACACAGGAGAGTGTTGTCGAGATTTTGGGATACATACTGACAGTTCATAGGCCCTGGGTCAGTGGGGTGTTGATCAACCGTGTGTTTGCGTGTCTTTGTGCTGTTCTTTTGCTTTTCTGTGTCTCCTCTTGTTCTGTGCTGTTGCTCGTATCTGGTACAGGTCTTCATGGTGCCCTGCTCACAACTCTGTGTGTCCGGAGTGCCAGTTTGAGTCGACTCCTCACTCGTCTGCGCTGTGGCCTTGTGTCCGTCGTGTCTGTCTGCGCTCCTTTGATTGTGTGTGGCTGCTTCATTGTACTGTCTCTCTTCTCCTCTCTGCTGTCTCTGTCTGTCTCCTTTCTCGATCATCTGCCTGTCGCTACGTACTCTTCTGGTTGCTCTCGTTTGTTGTCTCTTCCGCTCTTGCGTCTGTCGTCTGCTCGTCTCTGTCTCTTCTCTCTGCTCTTCTGCTGTCTCTCTCGTCTGTTCTCTCGGTCTGTCTCTCCTCGTCTTCTGCGTGTCCTTCTCTCTCGTCCTGCGTTGGTCCTCTCTGTCTCTCTTCGTGTCTCTCTCTCTCTTCGCTTGTCTCTCTTCTGCTCTCTGCGTCGCTCTCTCTCTCTTCTCGTTGTCTGCTCTCTCTCTGGTTGTCTCTCTCTCTCTCTCTCGTGTCCTCTCTCTCTCTGCTGTCTCTCTCTCTCTGCGTGTCTTCTCTCTCTCTTGCGTGTCTCTCTCTCTCTGCGTCGTCGTCTCCTCTCTCTCTGCTTGTCTCTCTCTCTCTCTTGCGTTGTCTCTCTCTCTCTGCGTTCTGTCTCTCTCTCTCTTGCGTGTTCTCTCCTCCTCTCTCGCCGTGTCTCTCTCTTCTCTGCGTGTCGTCTCTCTCTCTCTGCGTGTCTCTCTCCTCTCTGCGTGTCTCTCTCTCTCTCTGTTTCCCTCTCTCTCTGCGTGTTTCTCTTGCTTCTCTCCTCTCTGCGTGTCTCTCTCTCTCTGCGTGTCTTCTCTCTCTGCGTGTCTCTCTCTCTCTTGCGTGTCTCTCTCTCTCTGCGTGTCTCTCTCTCTCTGCGTGTCTCTCTCTCTCTGCGTGTCTCTCTCTCTCTGCGTGTCTCTCTCTCTCTGCGTGTCTCTCTCTCTCGCGTGTCTCTCTCTCTCTGCGTGTCTTCTCTTCTCGTCTCTCTCTCTGCGTGTCCTCTCTCTCCTGTCTCTCTGCGTGTCTCTCCTCTCTCTGCGTGTCTCTCTCTCTCTCTCGTGTCTCTCTCCTCTGTCGTCTCGTCTCTCTCTCTCTGCGTGTCTCTCCTCTCGGCTCTTTGCGTGTCTTCTCTCTCGTCTCTGTCTGGTTCTCTCTCTCTCTGCGTGTCTCTCTCTCTCTGCGTGTCTCTCTTCTCTCTGCGTGTCTCTCTCTCTCTGCTGTCTCTCTCTCTGCGTGTCTCTCCTTGCGTCTCTCTCTCTGCGTGCTCTTCTCTCTGGTCTTCTCTCTCTGCGTGTCTCTTCTCTCTCTTCCTTGCTCTCTGCGTGTTCTCTCTTGCGTGTCTCTCTCTCTCTGCGTGTCTCTCTCTCTCTTGCTGTCTCTCTCTCTCTCGCTCGTCTCTGCGTGTCTCTCTCTCTGCGTGTCTCTCTCTGCGTATGTGTCTCTCTCTCTCTCTCTGCGTGTCTCTCTCTGCGTGTCTCTCTCTGCGTGTCTCTCTCTGCGTGTCTCTCCAGTGTACCTGACCCATCTGGACTATGCAGACACGGAGCGGATAATGACTGAGAAGCTTCACAACCAGGTGAACGGTACAGAGTGGTCCTGGAAGAACCTCAACACACTGTGCTGGGCTATAGGGTCCATCAGTGGAGCCATGCACGAAGAGGACGAGAAGAGGTTCCTGGTCACCGTCATCAAGGTACGGAGGCCACCTAGGGACAAGTATAACGGAGAGAGTAAAATGGGATTGATGTAGAGGGTTGGTGACCAGAAGGTTTTAGGAGAATGTTGAGCAGAAGCTTTCTCTTTAGCAAGGAAAAGAATGGGAGTTTCTTTGGTGGATATTTAGTTGAACTGATGGCCAATGTGATAGAGATGCATAAGGTGCAAGAGGAAAGGATTTGGTCAGTAAAACAATGCTGCCACTAAAGGATAAAAAATAGTTCATCTGTTGTCCAAAGACTCTCTGTTATCCATCCATCTGTCTCACTTGTCTGTGTGTGTGTGTGTGTGTGTGTCTGTGTGTGGTGTGTGTGTGTGTGTGTGTGTGTGTGTGTGTGTGTAGGATCTACTGGGTCTGTGTGAACAGAAAAGGGGGAAAGACAACAAGGCCATCATTGCCTCCAACATCATGTACATCGTGGGCCAGTACCCTCGCTTCCTCAGAGCACACTGGAAGTTCCTCAAGACTGTCGTCAATAAACTCTTTGAGTTCATGCACGGTGAGAGAACTAACTTTGGCTGTGCAACTGGTTTACAGAGGAAGATCTGTGTGTGTGTGTTTTCCACCCTGTCTCAAACCCTCCCTCCCTCTCTCTCCCCCCTCCCTCCCTCCCTCTCTCTCCCCCTCCCTCCCTCCCTCTCCCTCCCTCCCTCTCTCTCCCCCTCCCTCCCTCCCTCCCTCCCTCCCCTCTCAGAGACCCATGATGGGGTACAGGACATGGCGTGTGACACCTTCATCAAGATCGCCCAGAAGTGCCGTCGCCATTTTGTCCAGGTGCAGGTGGGGGAGGTGATGCCCTTCATCGACGAGATCCTCAATAACATCAACACCATAATCTGTGACCTGCAGCCACAACAGGTAGACACACACACACACACACACACACACACACGTGCAATTAGATCCTCAACAACATCAACTCCATCATCGTGACCTCTAACCCCAACAGATAGGTTGGCCTCAGGTCCTAGAAACACACTGACTAGAGAGGACTTTAATTGTCATTCACTCAACCCAAACTAAAAGGCGTGTATCAGGGCCCCCACGTTCAAATACTCAAACACAGGTCTCTATCATGTCTACTGAAAAGACCTGGGATTTTCAACATTTCCACAATGGCCAGTCCAGCCAATAAACCCCAAAAAGTATTTCACTGTTCCTTGTATCTGTGTTCAATATTGCTAACGCTGACCAAAGTTACAAACCAGTGACGATGTTGTGTTTGTGTGTGCTGTAGAAACGCACTGACTTAGATGTGACCTGATCTCTCTCCGTCTACTGAGAAGCATCACACTGACTCAGAGCAGAATGGAGCGTGTCTGTGTGTCTATATCTTATGTCACATGTATCTGTGTGTTGTACAGGTGCATACGTTCTACGAGGCGGTGGGGTATATGATCGGGGCCCAGACGGACCAGGCAGTACAGGAGCATATCATAGAGAAGTACATGCTACTGCCCAACCAGGTGTGGGACAGCATCATTCAACAGGCCACCAAGGTACCACACTCGTGTAATAATGAATCTATTCTCTCTGTGATCATTCATTTCCCACTCCTTTCCTATTTGTACATGTTTTGTTAAATAACCTAAAATAACCCGGTGAGAACGTTACTGGATAAGGGTAGTGAGTAAAACAGGAAAGGTGGAGGGAGAGAGTTTGCCAGAAGAGCAGTGGGTCTGATTGGATCCCATGCTAGCTAGCATGGCTACATACATGTGTTCTGGAGGTAACCGCTTCAACTGCTACAGCACCCCAGGTCACAGACAGCCCTGTAGTAGCAACCCCTTTCCTGTAGTCAAATGACCTACTGCTACAGCACCCCAGGTCACAGGCAGACCTGTAGTAGCAACCCCTTTCCTGTAGTCAAATGACCTACTGCTACAGCACCCCAGGTCACAGGCAGACCTGTAGTAGCAACCCCTTTCCTGTAGTCAAATGACCTACTGCTACAGCACCCCAGGTCACAGGCAGACCTGTAGTAGCAACCCCTTTCCTGTAGTCAAATGACCTACTGCTACAGCACCCCAGGTCACAGGCAGACCTGTAGTAGCAACCCCTTTCCTGTAGTCAAATGACCTACTGCTACAGCACCCCAGGTCACAGGCAGACCTGTAGTAGCAACCCCTTTCCTGTAGTCAAATGACCTAGTGGCCTCATGGGTGGAATGTTATTCATATTTTTCATAATTAATAAACATTATTTAAATGTAAAAAAAACACTGAAAATCCTGTGTTTCTATGTAAAACAGTTTTGTTATATTTCAGTCTTCTGTGATGTGTATATAAAGTTTAATATTGGGATGCAAACTCAAAATGGAATACATTTCTACTCTATATCTGACATGGTACAGGTGTCTTCTTTTTTTTAAGCCCATAACCATGTGTGTGAGGTGTATACTTTTTGTTTCAAAGTAGTTTTGTTTAAGACTACCAAGAAACACACTGTGACCCTGATTTACCCCAGTGTGACCCTGATTTACCCCAGTGCAGTAAAAGGTTATTAACTTAATCCAGTCACGTTTCAGTCTGATCAATAACCCTGATCAAGTCACCCACAAACCAGGGACACTGAATATACATCTATTTTCTCTCTAATGATGTCTAGCTGTCTTGATGGGCTGTTTGTCCAGGACATAGATTAAGTCTAGTCCTGGACCAAAACAAATGAATCTCCATTGAAGTTATTAATTGTATATGATTGTTTTGTTCTTTGCGAACCCTAGGAAGAGTAGCTGTTGCAGCTTATTGGCATTAATAAACTCAATATAATCAAAATGAATAAACGGGTTTAATCAGATGTTTCTGCTCTAGCCAACTCCTTTATCATTGTCATGTTTTAACTCGATCCATTCACATTTCAGTGTGATGATCACTAAAGTACCCTACATTACCTTCACACACCCTTCTCTTGAATCTCCACCCTGCACAGCCAGGAGAGGACTGGCCACCCCTCAGAACCTGGTTCCTCTCTACCCAGTACAACCAGGAGAGGACTGGCCACCCCTCAGAGCCTGGTTCCTCTCTAGGTTTCTTTCTAGGTTCTTGCCTTCTACAGTGTTTTTCCTAGAGACTGTGCTTCTGCCTCTGCATTGCTTGCTCTTTGGGGTTTTAGGCTGGGTTTCTGTAAAGCACTTGACATTTGATTGATTCAACCCTCTCTGTTAGAACGTAGACATTCTGAAGGACCCAGAGACAGTGAAGCAGCTGGGCAGCATCCTGAAGACCAACGTCCGGGCCTGTAAAGCCGTGGGACACCCCTTCGTCATCCAGTTAGGACGCATATATCTGGACATGCTCAACGTCTACAAGTGCCTCAGCGAAAACATCTCCGCAGCCATCCAGACCAATGGTCAGTGGGGGTGTGTGGGGTGGCTTGGGGTCTGTGTGTGTCCTCTCTCCTCATGAGTCTCTTCCCTTGACGGTGTGTCTGTGTGTGTCCTCTCTCCTCATGAGTCTCTTCTCTTGACGGTGTGTCTGTGTGTCCTCTCTCCTCATGAGTCTCTTCCCTTGACGGTGTGTCTGTGTGTGTCCTCTCTCCTCATGAGTCTCTTCCCTTGACGGTGTGTCTGTGTGTGTCCTCTCTCCTCATGAGTCTCTTCCCTTGACGGTGTGTCTGTGTGTGTCCTCTCTCCTCATGAGTCTCTTCCCTTGACGGTGTGTCTGTGTGTGTCCTCTCTCCTCATGAGTCTCTTCCCTTGACGGTGTGTCTGTGTGTGTCCTCTCTCCTCATGAGTCTCTTCTCTTGACGGTGTGTCTGTGTGTGTCCTCTCTCCTCATGAGTCTCTTCTCTTGACGGTGTGTCTGTGTGTCCTCTCTCCTCATGAGTCTCTTCTCTTGACGGTGTGTCTGTGTGTGTCCTCTCTCCTCATGAGTCTCTTCCCTTGACGGTGTGTCTGTGTGTGTCCTCTCTCCTCATGAGTCTCTTCTCTTGACGGTGTGTCTGTGTGTCCTCTCTCCTCATGAGTCTCTTCCCTTGACGGTGTGTCTGTGTGTGTCCTCTCTCCTCATGAGTCTCTTCCCTTGACGGTGTGTCTGTGTGTGTCCTCTCTCCTCATGAGTCTCTTCCCTTGACGGTGTGTCTGTGTGTGTCCTCTCTCCTCATGAGTCTCTTCTCTTGACGGTGTGTCTGTGTGTGTCCTCTCTCCTCATGAGTCTCTTCTCTTGACGGTGTGTCTGTGTGTGTCCTCTCTCCTCATGAGTCTCTTCTCTTGACGGTGTGTCTGTGTGTGTCCTCTCTCCTCATGAGTCTCTTCTCTTGCGGTGTGTCTGTGTGTGTCCTCTCTCCTCATGAGTCTCTTCTCTTGGCGGTGTGTCTGTGTGTTCCTCTCTCCTCATGAGTCTCTTCTCTTGGCGGTGTGTCTGTGTGTGTGTCCTCTCTCCTCATGAGTCTCTTCTCTTGACGGTGTGTGTTTCAGGAGAGATGGTGACGAAACAGCCCCTGATCAGAAGTATGAGGACGGTGAAAAGGGAGACTCTCAAACTCATCTCCGGCTGGGTTAGCCGATCCAGCGATCCACAGATGGTGAGATACAGATATATATATACATCTGACAGGAAGATATTGGTACTACATACTGTATATCAGATATATTGTTAATTCATATCAGATATATTGTTACTACATACACTACCGGTCAAAAGTTTTTGTACACCTACTCATTCCAGGGTTTTTCTTTATTTTTACTATTTTCTACATTGTATAATAATAGTGAAGACATCAAAACTATGAAATAACACATATGAAATAATGTAGTAACCAGAAAAGTGTTAAACAAATCACAATATATTTTATATTTGAGATTCTTCAAATAGCCACATTTTGCCTTGATGACAGCTTTGCACACTCTTGGCATTCTCTCAACCAGCTTCATGAGGTAGTCACGTGGAATGCATTTCAATTAACAGTTGTGCGTTGTTAAAAGTTAATTTGTGGAATTTCTTTCCTTCTTAATGCATTTTAGCCAATCAGTTGTGTTGTGACAAGGTAGGGGGGGTAGCAGAGGTAACTCTGGGTCCTCATGAGAGCCAGTTTCATCATAGCGCTTGATGGTTTTTGCGACTGCACTTGAAGAAACGTTCAAAGTTGTTAATGTTCCGTATTGACTGACTTTCATGTCTTAAAGTAATGATGGACTGTCGTTTCTCTTTCCTTATTTGATGGACTTGGTCTTTTACCAAATAGGGCTATCTTCTGTATACCACCCCTACCTTGTCACAACACAACTGATTGGTCCTGTGGTCCTCTGTAGCTCAGCTGGTAGAGCACGGCGCTTGTAACGCCAAGGTAGTGGGTTCAATCCCCGGGACCACCCATACACAAAAATGTATGCACGCATGACTGTAAGTCGCTTTGGATAAAAGCGTCTGCTAAATGGCATATTATATTATTATTATTATTATATTATTATTGGCTCAAACGCATTAAGAAGGAAAGAAATTCCACAAATTAACTTTTAACAAGGCACACCTGTTAATTGAAATGCATTCCAGTTGACTACCTCATGAAGCTGGTTGAGAGAATGCCAAGAGTGTGCAAAGCTGTCATAAAGGGTTAATGGTGGCTATTTGAAGAATCTCAAATATAAAATATATTTTGATTTGTTTAACACTTTTTTGGTTACTACATGATTCCATATGTGTTATTTCATAGTTTTGATGTCTTCACTATTATTATACAATGTAGAAAATGGTAAAAAATAAAGAAAAACCCTGGAATGAGTAGGTGTTCTAAAACGTTTGACCGATACTGTATATCCCAATGAAAGACAGCAGAGGTGTTTCAGTGAAAAACTACATGACAGAAAAAAGACCTATACAACCTAGACTGTCTAAAGCAGTGCTTGTCAGTCCTGTGTGTACTCCAGGAATGGATTGGGAAACTCTTGCCTTAAGAGTTTGAAAGACAACCGTGTCGGTCACTTAGTCCTTAGTAACACACACAAACACACACACACACTGACCTCAGTCCTGTCGTACAATAACCCAGTGATAACATTCCAACAACATTCCTCCCTCTGCCGCGTTGATCCGTCCATTAATCACGTCCTCTCTTCCCTTCCGGTGTTCCTCCCTTCCAGGTGGGGGAGAACTTTGTTCCGCCGCTGCTCGACGCCGTTCTCATCGACTACCAGCGCAACGTCCCCGCCGCCCGGGAGCCCGAGGTCCTCAGCACCATGGCAACCATCGTCAACAAGCTGGGCGGACACATCACCGGGGAGATCCCGCAGATCTTTGATGCCGTGTTCGAATGCACGCTCAACATGATCAATAAAGTAAGTACCACCATTATCAATAGTGGGTATTGTTATAAACATTTGTCATGAAAGTTGATCAAATGTACTCTTAACATGATGAAGTCAGTATAGCTGTAAATCCTTGACATAGTTGTCAAAAGTTGTCAAAATTACATTTGGTTGTCAAAAGTACAAACCAAACTACCAAAACATCCAATGATGGGATTTATAAATAAATTATCTGGGCTCTAAAATATGTAAACAACTTTTGGAAAGCTCATATTCTGAGTTAGCCATTAAAAAAGTATGGGCTACAGATCTAATTGAATATGAACAACGCTTTAACTGGAACAGAATATGGAATAATATGACCTTGGCATCCCGTAATCTGAGGGTAGGAAGCATGGTTTCCGGGTGGGTGGGGACAGGGGGGGAATGGGTCGGGTTATCTTTGTATGCATTGATATGATTTGTTTTTGTGCCTGTAACCCCCCTCTGAAAAAGAAAAATGACAACTAAATAAGTCCATTTAATGAGGTAGTTCACTGAGACCCCTTATTTCCATATTGACTGTAGGCGGTCGCTCTTGATGGAGTGCTGTGCTGCACACGTATTACAGCAATTGTTCTACCAATACCGAGGCCAACCTATCTTTTTAGTGCCTCCAACTGTTGTCGGTTGGTTGTCATCAATATGTCCCGTCTCTCTCTCCCTCCCTCCAGGACTTTGAGTTGGTTGTCATCAATATGTCCCGTCTCTCTCCCTCCCTCCAGGACTTTGAGTTGGTTGTCATCAATATGTCCCGTCTCTCTCTCCCTCCCTCCCTCCAGGACTTTGAGCAGTACCCCGAACACAGGACTCATTTCTTCTACCTGCTGCAGGCCGTCAACTCCCACTGTTTCCCAGCATTCCTGGCCATCCCGCCAGCCCAGTTCAAACTGGTGCTGGACTCCATCATCTGGGCCTTCAAACACACCATGAGGAACGTGGCCGACACAGGTGAGGCTTGAACGCACGCGCACACACACACACACACACACACACACACACACACACAGGTGCTTTCCTTTACGAATGACAGCACAGGATCGAAATCATCCACATGTATTGATCACATCTTTACTAATGCTGCAGAAATCTGCTTTAAAGCAGTATCCAGATCCATCGGATGTAGTGATCACAATATAGTAGCCATATCTAGGAAAACCAAAGTTCCAAATGCTGGGCCTAATATAGTGTATAACAATACGTTTTGTAGTGATTCCTATGTTGATGATGTAAATAATATTTGCTGGTCTGTGGTGTGTGATGTAGCTCAGTTGGTAGAGCATGGCGTTTGCAACGCCAGGGTTGTGGGTTCGATTCCCACGGGGGGCCAGTATGAAAAAATAAAATAATGTATGCACTCACTAACTGTAAGTCGCTCTGGATAAGAGCGTCTGCTAAATGACTAAAATGTAAATGTAATGAGGAGCAACCAGATGCTGCACTTGACACATTTATGAAATTGCTTATTCCAGTTACTAGTAAGCATGCACCCATTTAAGAAAATGACTTTAAAAAGTTTAAATCCTCATGGATTGATGAGTGATAAAAAGATAATGTATGGTTGAGAGGGATGAGGTTAAAGGAATGGCAAATAAGTCTGGCTGCACAACCGATTGGCAAAAGTACAGCAAATTGAGAAATAATGTGACTAAACTGAATTAAAAGAAGATTAAACTATACTATGAAACAAAGATAAATGATTTAAAGAATGATAGTAAAAAGCTTTGGCACACCTTAAATTACATTTTTGGGAAAAGGGCAAACTCAGCTCCATCATTAATTTGAATCAGATTGCTCATTCATCAGAAAACCCACTGATATTGCCAACTACTTTAATTATATTTTTTTCATTGCCAAGATTAGCAAATTTAGGCATGACATGCCAGCAACAAAGTAGAACTGACCAAATTATGAAAGGCAAGCATTGTAATTTTGAATTCCGTAAAGTGAGTGTGGAAGAGGTGAACAAATTATTGTTGTCTATCAACAATGACAAGCCACCTGGGATGTAAAGCAATAACGTATGTGTTATGGCTTTACACCCCCTGCTATATTGTGGATAAAGAGTTACCTGTCTAACAGAACACAGAGGGTGTTCTTTAATGGAAGCCTCTCCAACATACTCCAGGTAGAATCAGGCATTCCCCAGGGCAGCTGTCTAGGCCCCTTACTTTTTTCGATCTTTACTAATGACATAAATAATATAAATAATATGACATTTAGCAGACGCTTTTATCCAAAGCGACTTAGTCATGCGTGCATATTTTTTTTTTTTCCGTGTATGGGTGGTCCCGGGGATCGAACCCACTACCTTGGCGTTACAAGCGCCGTGCTCTACCAGCTGAGCTACAGAGGACCACATTCCACTGGCCATGCGTAAATAATAATAATAATAATAATATGCCATTTAGCAGACGCTTTTATCCAAAGCGACTTACAGTCATGCGTGCATACATTTTTTTTTTTTTTGTGTATGGGTGGTCCCGGGGATCGAACCCACTACCTTGGCGTTACAAGCGCCGTGCTCTACCAGCTGAGCTACAGAGGACCACAAAAGCCAGTGTGTCTTTTGTATGCGGATGACTCCACACTATACACGTCAGCTACTACAGCGAGGGAAATCACTGCAACACTTAACAAAGAGCTGCAGTCAGTTTCAGAATGGGTGGCAAGAAATAAGTTAGTCCATAATATTTCAAAAACTAAAAGCATTGTATTTGGGCCAAATCATTCACTAAACCCTAAACCTCAACTAAATCTTGTAATGAATAATGTGGAAATTGAGCAAGTTGAGGTGACTAAACTGCTCTGCCTTCTTAACAGCACTATCAACAAGGCAGGTCCTACAGACCCTAGTTTTGTCGCACCTGGACTACTGTCTAGTCGTGTTGTCACAATCCCCAAGTCAAGACTATGGGAGGCGCACAGTACTACATAGAGCCATGACTACATGGAACTCTATTCCACATCAGGTAACTGATGCAAGCAGCAGAATCAGATTTAAAAACCAGATAAAAATGCACCTTATGGAACAGCGGGGACTGTGAGAAGACACACACATAGGCACAGACACACACGCATACATTGCTAAAGCACACACTCTACACACACGTAAGCATGGATTTTGTACTGTAGATACAATATATGTACAAAAGTATGTGGACACCCTTTCAAATAAGTGGATTTGGCTATTTCAGCCACACCCGTTGTTTACAGGTGTATAAAATTGAGCACACAGCCATGCAATCTCCATAGACAAACATTGGCAGTAGAATGGCCTTACTGAAGAGCTCAGTGACTTTCAACGTGGCACCGTCATGGGATGCCACCTTTCCAACAAGTCAGTTCGTCAAATTTCTGCCCTGCTAGAGCTGCCCCGGTCAACTGTAAGTGCTGTTGTTGTGAAGTGGAAACATCTAGGAGCAACAACGGCTCAGACGTGAAGTGGTAGGCCACACAAGCTCACAGAACGGGGCCGCTAATGCGCGTAGCATGTAAAAATAGTCTGTCCTCGGTTGCAACACTCACTACCGAGTTCCAAACTGCCTCTGGAAGTAACGTCAGCACAATAACTGTTCTTCGCAAGCTTCATGAAATGGGTTTCCATGGCCGAGCAGCCGCACAGAAGCTTAAGGTCACCATGCGCAACGCCAAGCGTCGGCTGGAGTGGTGTAAAGCTCGCCGCCATTGGACTCTGGAGCAGTGCAAACGCGTTCTCTGGAGTGATGAATCACGCTTCACCATCTGGCAGTCTGACGGACTAATCTGATTTTGGCGAATGCCAGGAGAACGCTACCTGCCCCAATTCCTAGTGCCAACTGTAAAGTTTGGTGGAGGAGGAATAATGGTCTGGGGCTGTTTGTCATGGTTCGGGCTATTAGTTCCAATGAAGAGAAATGCACAAAGCGAGGTCTAACTGGTTTGTGGAGATCGGTGTGGAAAGACTTGACGGGCCTGCACAGAGCCCTGACCTCAACCCCATCAAACACCTTTAGGATGAATTGGAACGCCGACTGCGCGTGGAAAGCCTTCTCAGAAGAGTGGAGGCTGTTATAGCAGCAAAGGGGAGACCAACTCCATATTAATGCCCATTATTTTGGAATGCCATGGGTGGGGGTGGGCCCTCCCTGGGGGTGGGCCCTCCCCTCCCAGGCCCACCCATGGCTACACCCCTGCCCAGTCATGTGAAATCGATAGATTAGGGCCTAATGAATTTATTTCATTTGACTGATTTTATTTTCATTTAAATCTTTGAAATTGTTGCATGTTGCGTTTTTATATTTTTGTTCAGTATGTGATATATATTGTCTATGTTCCTGTGGCAGGTCTTCAGATCCTGTATATATATGATATATATTGTCTATGTTCCTGTGGCAGGTCTTCAGATCCTGTATATATATGATATATATTGTCTATGTTCCTGTGGCAGGTCTTCAGATCCTGTATATATATGATATATATTGTCTATGTTCCTGTGGCAGGTCTTCAGATCCTGTATATATATGATATATATTGTCTATGTTCCTGTGGCAGGTCTTCAGATCCTGTACAGTGGGGAAAAAAAGTATTTAGTCAGCCACCAATTGTGCAAGTTCTCCCACTTAAAAAGATGAGAGAGGCCTGTAATTTTCATCATAGGTACACGTCAACTATGACAGACAAATTGAGGAAAAAAAATCCAGAAAATCACATTGAAGGATTTTTAATGGATTTATTTGCAAATTATGGTGGAAAATAAGTATTTGGTCATCTACAAACAAGCAAGATTTCTGGCTCTCACAGACCTGTAACTTCTTCTTTAAGAGGCTCCTCTGTCCTCCACTCGTTACCTGTATTAATGGCACCTGTTTGAACTTGTTATCAGTATAAAAGACACCTGTCCACAACCTCAAACAGTCACACTCCAAACTCCACTATGGCCAAGACCAAAGAGCTGTCAAAGGACACCAGAAACAAAATTTTAGACCTGCACCAGGCTGGGAAGACTGAATCTGCAATAGGTAAGCAGCTTGGTTTGAAGAAATCAACTGTGGGAGCAATTATTAGGAAATGGAAGACATACAAGACCACTGATAATCTCCCTCGATCTGGGGCTCCACGCAAGATCTCACCCCGTGGGGTCAAAATGATCACAAGAATGGTGAGCAAAAATCCCAGAACCACACAGGGGGACCTAGTGAATGACCTACAGAGAGCTGGGACCAAAGTAACAAAGCCTACCATCAGTAACACACTACGCCGCCAGGGACTCAAATCCTGCAGTGCAAGACGTGTCCCCCTGCTTAAGCCAGTACATGTCCAGGCCCGTCTGAAGTTTGCTAGAGTGCATTTGGATGATCCAGAAGAGGATTGGGAGAATGTCAGATGAAACCAAAATATAACTTTTTGGTAAAAACTCAACTCGTCGTGTTTGGAGGACAAAGAATGCTGAGTTGCATCCAAAGAACACCAAACCTACTGTGAAGCATGGGGGTGGAAACATCATGCTTTGGGGCTGTTTTTCTGCAAAGGGACCAGGACGACTGATCCGTGTAAAGGAAAGAATGAATGGGGCCATGTATCGTGAGATTTTGAGTGAAAACCACCTTCCATCAGCAAGGGCATTGAAGATGAAACGTGGCTGGGTCTTTCAGCATGACAATGATCCCAAACACACCGCCCGGGCAACGAAGGAGTGGCTTCGTAAGAAGCATTTGAAGGTCCTGGAGTGGCCTAGCCAGTCTCCAGATCTCAACCCCATAGAAAATCTTTGGAGGGAGTTGAAAGTCCGTGTTGCCCAGCGACAGCCCCAAAACATCACTGCTCTAGAGGAGATCTGCATGGAGGAATGGGCCAAAATACCAGCAACAGTGTGTGAAAACCTTGTGAAGACTTACAGAAAACGTTTGACCTGTGTCATTGCCAACAAAGGGTATATAACAAAGTATTGAGAAACTTTTGTTATTGACCAAATACTTATTTTCCACCATAATTTGCAAATAAATTCATATAAAATCCTACAATGTGATTTTCTGGATTTTATTTCTCATTTTGTCTGTCATAGTTGACGTGTACCTATGATGAACATTACAGGCCTCTCTCATCTTTTTAAGTGGGAGAACTTGCACAATTGGTGGCTGACTAAATACTTTTTTTCCCCACTGTATATATATGATATATATTGTCTATGTTCCTGTGGCAGGTCTTCAGATCCTGTATATATATGATATATATTGTCTATGTTCCTGTGGCAGGTCTTCAGATCCTGTACACTCTACTGCAGAACGTGACTCAGGAAGAGGCTGCAGCACAAAGCTTCTACCAGACATACTTCTGTGACATCCTCCAACACATCTTCTCTGTGGTCACCGACACATCACACACTGCCGGTGAGTACAGCATACACACACACACACACACACACACACCTAGCTAGCACATTTGGTTCCTTGGAAGTTGTGGGAACTGAAGTTTTTGGTTTCCCATTGGTTCTGGGAACGAAGCCATACGTTTCCTGACTGGTAAACGGAAAGTTTTTTAAAAAGTTCTGAGAACGGAAGTGAACATTCTGCCTGTTCTGGGAACTTACATTTTTAGGTTGCTGTGAGGTTCTGAGAACGTTTTACTCTGGTTCCTTGAAAGTTTTCTTGGAAGGTTTTATTAATTCTCTGAGAACGGAAATTCTAGGTAATTTTTAGGTTTTTCAATAACTTCCTTAAAACATTCACTAAATGTTTCTGAGACTTGTAATAAAACTGCTAGCTTATTTTGGGTTAACTTTTTTTGAACTCCAAGCACAGATGGCATACATGGAAATGCATTTCCTTAGGCATTAATCATGCAAACACATAGTGATGTGGGGGAAATATATACAGTTACATATTGGGATATTATTTTTGACGATGTATCGGTTTGACAATATCGCAATATTATTTTTGCGCTAGTTGGCTGTACCTGCACCAAAACTCTAGTATTTTTCCTTCATAGCTTGTCCTCCATCTTTTTAAATAGGGAGTCAATTTGTTTTCAGCACTTATTTCCATGGCTTTATTTCCAACTCGTTTTCTCATGGCTCTCTCTTGTCCCTCTGCAGCAGACATATATGGTGAGAAATATGTTTGGAACATCAAATCGCAATAAAATCACAGTATCGAATACATATCATATCAGCACTTAAGTATTGTGATAATTTTGTATCGTGAGGTCGCTGGCAATTCTCAGCCGTACAAGCATATTTCTTTTTTTATTATGACACGGCATCAGTGTGATTCTAACCTATAGTCTTCTATTCTCTATCCATGGAATTAGTCCACTGCACCACAAGAATGGAGCTAGCATGCCATGATTTTTTACGCATACAAAGCTGTTCATTTTAGTCTATTCAAACAGACCCCATTTCAAAGGAAAAAAAGCACTCATTAAGATGAGGTGTGGCCAATTAGTGGGCGCGGCCAACACCTGAACACGCTTAACAAGATAGAGTTTTGTTGATGCTGAGAACGGAATGTATATGGTTTTAAATAACATTCTTAGAACATTACAAAAGTTGACTTGTGTTTTTTATGGAATGTTTTCTTCACATTCTGAGAACGGAATGTATGTTTTTAAATTACATTCTTAGAACGTTCTCTGAACGTTACTAATGTTTTCTTGTGTTCTTTTATAGAACGTTTTTTTAACGTTCTTGGAACAATTTGAGAACATGATTTTAAATAGAACCATGAGGAAACCTGTAGGAAACGTTATGCTGAATTACTGAAATTCCCACAGAAGAACATTGTTTCTTAATGTTCTCTGGACTATTTGAGAACATTCCCAATGTCAAACCAGTTGGAGAACGTTCCTAGAACATTACCAAAATTGTAACCATGTAAATGTAATCATGTTTGAACTTTTAGGAAACTTTCTGTTAAAGTAATGATATACCAAGGAAATAAAGTTTTGTTTTCTCAAGTTCCTTAAATGTGCTGAGAATGTTCCAAAGCCAAGCAACTATGCTGCACCATTCCCAGAAAGTTGTGGAACGGTTGTATGCAAAATAGCCATAGGACAACCACACTCTCACCAAGCTCTAAGATACATATGGTTCTCAGAACGCTATGTGCTAGCTGGGGGACACACACACACACAGAACACACGTCGTTCTGTGTTACCATTTGTATAAATCCATATCAACTAAATGTGCGTGTGTGTGTGTCTCTCTCTGCCTCTCCTCCAGGCCTGACGATGCATGCCTCCATCCTGACCTACATGTTTAACCTGGTGGAGGAAGGAAAGATCAACACCCAGCTCAACCCCTCCAACCCCGGCAACAACCAGGTCTTCATACAGGAGTACGTGGCCAACCTGCTCAAAACGGCCTTCCCACATCTACAGGAGTAAGTACCTTTATGAAGAAGGTGACCCCTTGTAAAAAAATTTTTTGCATTTGACCTTACTGCCAATGTTCCCTCTAATGTTTTTCAGCACTGAGTAAATTTCAGGTCTGCTGAGCGAAAACTTTAACGTTGTGAAACTTCAGTGCAACTTCCAGCGCGTGTTTACTGTGAACACTGAGGCTGTACCCGCTTTAACTTACAGATATAACAGTGGACAAGTAGGCTACTGTGGCTATTTGATCATAATGTAGGCCTACCAGAGTGGCCTACCATCAAAACAATGGAGAAAAATGCATCCCATAACATTTTAACATGGAAATAGCTGTTCTATCATTCAGCCTACAGTAGCAGCCAATGTGTGGTGTTAAACGTAGGCCTACATTCCATGAGACCTTTGAAAAAAACATGCAGGGCTTGACATTAACCTGTTTATCCACTTGTCCTTCAGACAAGGAGGTGACTGAAAATGTTGTTGTGGTGTTTGATGCAAGAAAGCACTTAACAAAATAAAATGCATCATTATTCCCATCCCATTTTTACAGAGAATCAGGCAAATTATGCTACCCTCTGCCTATTGGCTACTTATCTTATTCAAGCCTGTCTCAAAATACAACACTGCCCCTTTAAAACAAAAAAAAAGCTCTTTACCTGAATCACTTTTCAAAGATGTCTAAAAATGCACACATTTTGTGCTCTTGTAAGAACCAATCACTCCCCCATTGCTGACTACAAATTATCTATAACTGGGCTAATAAGTCACTAACTAGCAAAGGATGAGAACAAATGTACACACGTGCACACGTCGCTCTCGCTTTGGTCACAAAACAAGCGCATCTACTCACAACCGCTCATGCTGTAAAAACAGTTCAAAGTGAACGGCACAGAACCATTATATGGACAAAAGCTGAAGAACAGAGGAGTTGTAGATTAACTAAAGGAAAACGCTGCACAGATCCATATATGGCAGTGGTCTATTTGCATATAGGCCCTACTACAGCTCTGATTGGTTAAGGTGCACCAGTCTGTGTATAGGACAGGCCTGCGTCGTGGCTGTTAATGCACTCAATCTACACACAATACCCCATAATGACAAAGCGAAAACAGGTATTTATTTTATTTTTTACTATAAAAAATTGAAATACCTTATTTACATAAGTATTCAGACCTTTTTGCTATGAGCCTCAAAATTGAGCTCCGGTGCATCCTGTTTCCATTGATCATCCTTGAGATGTTTCTACAACTTGATTGGAGTCCACCTGTGATAAATTCAATTGATTGGACATGATTTGGAAAGGCACACACCTGTCTATATAAGGTCCCACAATTGACAGTGCATGTCAGAGCAAAAACCAAGCCATGAGGTTGAAGAAATTGTCGGTAGAGCGCTCCTAGACAGGATTATGTCTAGGTACAGATCTGGGGAAGGGCTGCTAAAAAAATGTGGCAGCATTGAAGGTCCCCAGGAACACAGTGGCCTCCATCATTCTTAAATGGAAGAAGTTTGGAACCCCCAAGACTCTTCCTAGAGCTGGCCGGCCAAACTGAGCAATTGGGGGAGAAGGGACTTGGTCAGGGAGGTGACCAAGAACCCGATGGTCACTCTGACAGAGCTCCAGAGTTCCTCTGTGGAGATGGGAGAACCTTCCAGAAGGACAACCATCTCTGCAGCACTCCACCAATCAGGCCTTTATGGTAGAGTGGCCAGACGGAAGCCACTCCTCAGTAAAAGCCACATGACAGCCCGCTTGGAGTTTGCCAAAAGGCACCTAAAGACTCTCAGACTATGAGAACCAAGATTCTCTGGTCTGATGAAACCAAGATTGAACTCTTTGGCCTGAATGCCAAGCGTCACGTCTGGGGGAAACCTGGCACCATCCCTACAGTGAAGCATGGTGGTGGCACCATCCCTGCTGTAGGGATGTTTTTCAGCGGCAGGGACTGGGAGACTAGTCAGGATTGAGGGAAAGATGAGCGGAGCAAAGTACAGAGATGAAAACCTGCTCCAGAGCACTCAGGACCTCAGACTGGGGTGACGATTCACCTTCCAACAGGACAACGCCCCTAAGCACACAGCCAAGACAACGCAGGAGTGGCTACGGGACAAGTCTCTGAATGTCCTTGAGTGGCCCAGCCAGAGCCCGGACTTGAACCCAATCGACCATCTCTGGAGAGATCTGAAAAATAGCTGTGCAGCGACGCTCCCCATCCAACCTGACAGAGCTTGAGATGATCTGCAGAGAAGAATGGGAGAAACTCTCCAAATACAGGTGTGCCAAGCTTGTAGTGTCATACCCAAGAAGACTCAAGGCTGTAATCGCTGCCAAAGGTGTTCAACAAAGTACTGAGTAAAGGGTCTGAATACTTATGTACATTTGAGATATATATATGTATAATTTTTTTTCAAAATATATATATACACGTTTGCAAACATTTCTATAAAACCTGTTTTTGCTTTGGCATAATGGTGTATTGTGTGTAGATTGGTGAGGGAAAAAAACTATTTAATCCATTTTAGAATAAGGCTGTAACGTAACAAAATGTGAAAAGTCAAGGGGTCTGAATACTTTCCGAATGCACTGTAAATACCCATATACAGTGAGGGAAAAAAGTATTTGATCCCCTGCTGATTTTGTACGTTTGCCCACTGACAAAGACATGATCAGTCTATAATTTGAATGGTAGGTTTATTTAAACAGTGAGAGACAGAATAACAACAAAAGAATCCAGAAAAACGCATGTCAAAAATGTTATAAATTGATTTGCTTTTTAATTAGGGAAATAAGTATTTGATCCCTCTGCAAAACATGACTTAGTACTTGGTGGCAAAACCCTTGTTGGCAATCACAGAACTCAGACGTTTCTTGTAGTTGGCCACCAGGTTTGCACACATCTCAGGAGGGATTTTGTTCCACTCCTCTTTGCAGATCTTCTCCAAGTCATTAAGGTTTCGAGGCAGACGTTTGGCAACTCGAGCCTTCAGCTCCCTCCACAGATTTTCTATGGGATTAAGGTCTGGAGACTGGCAAGGCCACTCCAGGACCTTAATGTGCTTATTCTTGAGCCACTCCTTTGTTGCCTTGGCCGTGTGTTTTGGGTCATTGTCATGCTGGAATACCCATCCATGACCCATTTTCAATGCCCTGGCTGAGGGAAGGAGGTTCTCACCCAAGATTTGACGGTACATGGCCCCGTCCATCGTCCCTTTGATGCAGTGAAGTTGTCCTGTCCCCTTAGCAGAAAAACACCCCCAAAGCATAATGTTTCGACCTCCATGTTTGACGGTGGGGGTGGTGTTCTTGGGGTCATAGGCAGCATTCCTCCTCCTCCAAACACGGTGAGTTGAGTTGATGCCAAAGAGCTCGATTTTGGTCTCATCTGACCACAACACTTTCACCCAGTTCTCCTCTGAATCATTCAGATGTTCATTGGCAAACTTCAGACGGCCCTGTATATGTGCTTTCTTGAGCAGGGGGACCTTTCGGCGCTGCAGGATTTCAGTCCTTCACGGCGTAGTGTGTTAGCAGTTGTTTTCTTGGTGACTATGGTCCCAGCTGCCTTGAGATCATTGACAAGATCCTCCTGTGTAGTTCTGGGCTGATTCCTCACCGTTCTCATGATCATTGCAACTCCACGAGGTGAGATCTTGCATGGAGCCCCAGGCCGAGGGAGATTGACAGTTCTTTTGTGTTTCTTCCATTTGCGAATAATCGCACCAACTGTTGTCACCTTCTCACCAAGCTGCTTGGCGATGGTCTTGTAGCCCATTCCAGCCTTGTGTAGGTCTACAATCTTGTCTCTGACATCCTTGGAGAGCTCTTTGGTCTTGGCCATGGTGGAGAGTTTGGAATCTGATTGATTGCTTCTGTGGAAAGGTCTCTTTTATACAGGTAACAAGCTGAGATTAGGAGCACTCCCTTTAAGAGTGTGCTCGTAATCTCAGCTCATTACCTGTATAAAAGTCACCTGGGAGCCAAATCTTTCTGATTGAGAGGGGGTCAAATACTTATTTCCCTCATTAAAATGCAAATCAATTTATAAAAAAATGTACATGTGTTTTTCTGGATTTTGTTGTTGTTATTCTGTCTCTCACTGTTCAAATAAACCTACCATTAAAATTGTAGACTGATCATTTCTTTGTCAGTGGGCAAACGTACAAAATCAGCAGGGGATCAAATCCTTTTTTACCTCACTGTACCTACAGTAAGGTCTGTTCCCTCAGTGTCTGATGTTAGTCTTCAGGTTTCTCCTGTTTTTCTTTATTTGAATTGATTTGATTTGTCAGTCAAACCCAACATGCAGTATATACAGTACGTCATGTGTTTCTGTCAAACCCAATATGCAGTATATACAGTACGTCATGTGTTTCAGTCAAACCCAACATACAGTATATACAGTACGTCATGTGTTTCAGTCAAACCCAACATGCAGTATATACAGTACGTCATGTGTTTCAGTCAAACCCAACATACAGTATATACAGTACGTCATGTGTTTCAGTCAAACCCAACATGCAGTATATACAGTACGTCATGTGTTTCAGTCAAACCCAACATGCAGTATATACAGTACGTCATGTGTTTCAGTCAAACCCAACATGCAGTATATACAGTACGTCATGTGTTTCAGTCAAACCCAACATGCAGTATATACAGTACGTCATGTGTTTCAGTCAAACCCAACATGCAGTATATACCAGTACGTCATGTGTTTCACGTCAAACCGAACATGCAGTATATACAGTACGTCATGTGTTCAGTCAAACCCAACATGATAATACAGTACGTCATGTGTTTCAGTCAACCCAACATGCAGCTATTATACAGTACGTCATGTGTTTCAGTCAAACCCACATGCAGTATATACAGTACGTCATGTGTTTCAGTCAAACCCAACATACAGTATATACAGTACGTACATGTGTTTCAGTCAAACCCCACATGACAGTATATACAGTACGTCATGTGTTTCAGTCAAACCCAACATGCAGTATATACAGACGTCATGTGTTTCAGTCAAACCCAACATGGCGTATATACAGTAAGTCATGGTTCAGTCAACCCAACAGGTCATGGGGTTCAGTCAAACCCAACATGCAGTATATACAGTACGTTCATGTGTTTCAGTCAAACCCAACATCAGTATATACAGTACGTCATGTGTTTCAGTCAAACCCAACATACAGTATATACAGTACGTCATGTGTTTTCAGTCAAACCCAAACATGACAGTAATACAGTACGTCATGTGTTTCAGTCAAACCCAACATGCAGTATATACAGTACGTCATGTGTTTCAGTCAAACCCAACATGCAGTAGTATATAGTGTGTTTTGAAGTGTCTGGGATAGCCTTATCCATGGTGGATAGATACAGAGAGGAATGAGGTATAAATGTACGGCTAGGATCCAAACCCCGGCTCGGCCCGGAGGAGGGTCATGGTGTGGTCCAGAGTCAGCCGTTCCACCACGACTAGAGCGCTGTTGTCCTGTTTTTAAATGTCTTCTAAGTTGTCTTGTCCCCCTTGTCTCCCAGTGCCCAGGTCAAGGTGTTTGTAACAGGGCTGTTCAGTCTAAACCAGGATATTGCAGCCTTCAAGGAGCACCTGAGGGACTTCCTGGTTCAGATTAAGGTGAGCCTTCTCCTTCCCCCTCCTCCCCTTCAACCAAGTTTCCTCAGTAAAAATGACCGTGGGTGCATTCAAGGTCATCTTTATTGCAGTCAGATTATGAGAACCACATTTCATGGAAAAGTCTGTCTTTGTATTTATACACACGGACACCACAGACCTGTTGCTGTCTGTATTTGTGTGTGGTAATGTTTCTCTCTCCCCTCCTGTAGGAGTTTGCAGGGGAGGACACCACAGACCTGTTGCTGTCTGTATTTGTGTGTGGTAATGTTTCTCTCTCTCTCCCCTCCTGTAGGAGTTTGCAGGGGAGGACACCACAGACCTGTTGCTGTCTGTATTTGTGTGTGGTAATGTTTCTCTCTCTCTCCCCTCCTGTAGGAGTTTGCAGGGGAGGACACCACAGACCTGTTGCTGTCTGTATTTGTGTGTGGTAATGTTTCTCTCTCTCTCCCCTCCTGTAGGAGTTTGCAGGGGAGGACACCACAGACCTGTTGCTGTCTGTGTTTGTGTGTGGTAATGTTTCTCTCTCCCCTCCTGTAGGAGTTTGCAGGGGAGGACACCACAGACCTGTTGCTGTCTGTGTTTGTGTGTGGTAATGTTTCTCTCTCTCTCTCCCCTCCTGTAGGAGTTTGCAGGGGAGGACACCACAGACCTGTTGCTGTCTGTGTTTGTGTGTGGTAATGTTTCTCTCTCCCCTCCTGTAGGAGTTTGCAGGGGAGGACACCACAGACCTGTTGCTGTCTGTGTTTGTGTGTGGTAATGTTTTCTCTCTCTCTCCCCTCCTGTAGGAGTTTGCAGGGGAGGACACCACAGACCTGTTGCTGTCTGTATTTGTGTGTGGTAATGTTTCTCTCTCCCCTCCTGTAGGAGTTTGCAGGGGAGGACACCACAGACCTGTTGCTGTCTGTATTTGTGTGTGGTAATGTTTCTCTCTCTCTCCCCTCCTGTAGGAGTTTGCAGGGGAGGACACCACAGACCTGTTGCTGTCTGTGTTTGTGTGTGGTAATGTTTCTCTCTCTCTCCCCTCCTGTAGGAGTTTGCAGGGGAGGACACCACAGACCTGTTCCTGGAGGAGCGGGAGGCGTCGCTGCGTCAGGCGCAGGAGGAGAAACACAAGCTGCAGATGTCAGTTCCCGGCATCCTCAACCCCCACGAAATACCTGAGGAGATGTGTGACTGAGACGTCCAGCCACCCACTGCCCGCCGCGCCGCGCCACAGGAACCAAACTGCTGTTACTGTACATGCAGGCATACAAACAGACACACAAAACTAACCCTAACAGAACAGGAGGAGAGAAGAGAGGTGGGAGGCACTCGGTCACTTTGCTGAGGTGCGGAGAGGACAGCCACGCCCGTCCTCATCCATCAGGTGTTTGTCGACCAAAACCATGCCAATATGTAAATGATGACCTACCGCGTCACCCCGTGGCCCGTTATACATGGCCCCTACGCTACGTTTTATATGGAGACTTCTGGGTAATATCTTTCCACTGTTTAACCCAAACTTGTATCGTTTGTTTGGTCATGGGTCATCCCCCCCCCCCTAGCTGCATGAGATGGTGTGGATGTATGGACACGACCTTTAAAATTAGTTTTGTTTCCTCCCCCCCACCCCTCATATATATATATATATATAGTGAGTCTGAGGAGAGTTTTTGTGCAACAAGGCCTATGTGTCAAAGCGTTATCAGCAAACAGGCTTCTAGAACTGTGGTGTGACGGACAGACGGGAAGGAATGAAGTGGTGTTCTAGAAGTGTGTGTGTGCACCCTGCGTCTGATTCCCAACCCAATGCATTGTGGTCAGAATGTGAAGCTAGCGGATTATGAAGGAAGGAAGTCTGAGATGCTGCTGCTTCGTGTGCCAGGTGGTCAGGGTAGCGGTCGCGCTCGTTGGTTGAACCTCCGCCCAACTGAAAAGAAACCTACTGCATTTGGTTGTCTGGCTGTGACTGGAGGTGGGAACTTGGAAGACAGGAAGGAGCATCATCGGAGCAAGACAGTCAGATGATGTGCATATCATCCCAATTCTATAGCACCTTTTATTACCATGGGAACATTATTATTATTATTTTGTTTCTTTTTTGTGGGTGTGTTCAGTGCGTGTGCTGTCGCCTAGACGACATGGGCGTTTAGTTTTCCTCTGCGAGGATCGTTGCTCCACGGTGAGCTCTTCATTAAAATGGACGTTTAACAGAAAGAAGAAGCGGTTATTGAAATATATTTATGGGTTCACGATGGCTGCATCTTTATAACAAACTCCTATTTAACTTCACTCAGATGGCTTTTGAGATTTAGGATTGTAACTAATTGACAAGCAAACATAAAAAGAACTCGGTTTACATTTAATTTAGTATTTTTGCATTTTTTTAAAAAAAGATCTCTTCTAAACAAAAGGCTTTTATTCCAGAGAGCGAAATAAGTAGTTGCCAACAGTTTAATTAGGCAACAAATGTATAAATCCAAATACCAACTCGATCTGTAACGGCAAATAGTTCCCCTTCTCTACGTGTTACATTTGTTGTGAAACTTTTTGAACTGATTAAAGTTGAGGATTTTATAACCAACGCCTCTGGGCTCTATTTCTTTTCGGACATTGCTTTTTTTGTGGTGGCAGCAAGTGTAACTTTCTTTTTCTATTTTCAACTATTCATATTCTCTAAAGTAGTGGTCACCAACCCTGGTCTGTCTGTTTTTGTCTGTGGTAACTTCTTTCTCCTCAGAGAGCCAAGCACTAAAACACATGACCCTTATCAACTAATAAGCAATACTCATTTAGCAGACGCTCTTATCCAGAGCGACTTACAGTTAGTGAGTGCATACATCATTTATTTGTATTTTTCATACCCCCCGTGGGAAACGAACCCACAACCCTGGCGTTGCAAACGCCATGCTCTACCAACTGAGCTACATCCCAGCCGGCCATTCCCTCCCCTACCCTGGACGACGCTGGGCCAATTGTGCGCCGCCCCATGGGTCTCGACTCCCGGTCTACGACAGAGCCTGGATTCGAACCAGGATCTCTAGTGGCACAGCTAGCACTGCGATGCAGTGCCTTAGACCACTGCGCCACTCGGGAGACACTTTTATTGTTGAATAAAGTGTTTCAGTGCTGGGCTGGAACAAAAGCCTACAAACCCTGTAGCTCCTCCAGAGCCAGAGGTTAAAGACTGAGGGATGGTGGCAACTGCTCTGATAGGGGTGTTGAACTGCTCTGATAGGGGTGTTGAACTGCTCTAGGAACCACTACACTGGCTAAAGGCCCGGTCTCCTGTTATTTATACTGACAGGCTGGCAGAATCTCTCTCTCTCTGGCTGAGGTGAACACACACACCAACTGATTTCTAGTGAAACCTGAGGCTGATGATGGGCCTCTCTCCGTCACGCTGTCCTCTTTATGCCAGTGTCTGCTCCCCGTCACTCGCACAACACGACAAACACTAGATATTCCTGTGGCGTGTCAATTTCCATTTTGACACAACACGACAAACACTAGATATTCCTGTGGCGTGTCAATTTCCATTTTGACACAACACGACAAACACTAGATATTCCTGTGGCGTGTCAATTTCCATTTTTGACGTCTTTGGCCAAGGTTGGGCTGCAGTAAAACAGCACCCCTACACTAATCACTGATAACATACTGGTATTCCATTAAAGGTTACGCTGACTGTCCCGCACTGAAACAAAATACTCTGTTTATGGAGGTCCAATACTCCATATCATGGATGCAATGCCTGTGACAAGCACACGCTCCAGCTATACGCAGAACCGTTTAGAAAGAGAATCCACAGCCCCATTCTGCTGACAGCTGTTCATGTTCATCCATGTTTGTTTAGCGATAAAGTCAGCCCCTGCTCCTTTTCAGTAAAAATTCATGAATGCAGAGCTTGTGCTGAAATGATCATTAAACCAATCCCACACAGGGTGCACTTCCCTGGGGGTAACCAGAGACCCACTCCCCCTTGACCCACTTCCAGGGAGCAAACCTGGGTTCAAATACTATTCAAAATAATTTGAAATACTGTATACGTGCTTGATTGAGCTTGCCTGGCTTAATGGAACCAATGGAATCGTTTTAAAAAGGGCAAACTCTGCCCACCTGGCACTCCAGGAAGACGAGAGCAAACAACGTTTTTGAAAGACTTTCAGTAGTATTTGAACCCAGGTCTGCTTCCAGGGAGCCATATCCCTGGTATGGCATCCCTTTTGAAGAGCTCACAGCACCGCTGGGAAGGGGTCCAGATACATGCCAAATGGCATCCTAATCCCTATATAGTGAATAGGGCGCCATTTGGGACGCAATCCTACAATCCAAATGTGTTATTCAATGAGTTTCAATGGGCTGTAGCAGTAAAGGCTAAATTCAATGTTTCATAAAATATTTTTTGTTATACAGGGGCCTAAAATTCCAAATCAAATTTTATGACCATCTTAAAACAATTCCATATGTTCGCTTAGTAGATATTGCGATCTAAGGGCTTAGACCTACAGGGGTTTTAATAATATGCGTTACCCTTCTTTTCAAAAGCCCTCATTCTCCCATTGTCTCGAACTTAATAGCCTTTTCTTTCTCCGAGGGTAACAGACAGCCAGATATGTACAGCACAACCAAAATAGTAAAAAAAAAAAAAAAAAATCATGCAAGCTAGACTCAATTTGAGGTAGGTGTCCTTGGTGGGGTCAGTAGGGTAAAGTAGACTTGACAGGAAGTCAGAAACTTTTCTGTAGTCAATGTGAAAGACAATGCTGCCATCTAATGGACAACAATGTCATTTCTAGATTCTATTACAGAGTTGAATGAGTAAAGCTTGCATTAACAATGTAATAACCTGTACACAGAACTTACCACAAAGAATAACTGTTTGATTTGCTTCTGTGATATTATAATGACATCTAATGGAGAGTAGTTGAACTGAACAAAATGCAAGACACAGAAAATAAGCAAAAAGGTAGAGATAAATGGTGGGAATGTAACTTTTATTTCTGACTGTCTAGTGCACCCATGCCATCTTAGTCCCAGTAGTGCACAGTACAGCCAACACAGACAGATATAGATACAAAAACAGCAGCATTTCATTCACCATTATCTACCTACTGCTAACCACTCCTATTCCTCACCACAGGGTAGCTTCTATGTTAAATTTTTAAATTTTAGTCATTTAGCAGACGCTCTTATCCAGAGCGACTTACATGAGCAATTAGGGTTAAGTGCCTTGCTTAAGGGCACAGACAGATTTTTCACCTAGTCGGCTCGGGGATTAGAACCAGCGACCTTTCGGTTACTGGCACAACGCTCTTACCCACTAAGCTACCCACTAAGCTAAATTCTATTGTATTCTATGGCATACAGGTTTAGAGCAAGGTGACCTATTGCATTGTAATATACAGTTAATGGGGAGGTAGGAGTAGATGTGATCGATGGGAGGTGATTGTTACAAAGTCACCTGAGTCAGGCTGACAGGCTGAACTGGGTTCTAAGTGGGCTAGAAAGCCCTACGGCAAAACCAGGCCTCCTGAACTAAAGAGGACCAATGCAGGACTAGGGCCCGTATTTATAAAGCGTCTCAGAGTAGGATTGGTTATCTAGGATCAGGTCTCCCCTGTCCATTCAGTATAATGCAAAACTGATCCTAGATCGGCACTAAGACTCTTTATAAATACAGGCCCAAATATTAGCAGGGGCACAGTGGAGCAAGCAAGGTGGGGTTGAGAGGGTTAGCTGCTGCCAGGTTGCCAGTACCCATTTGGGTCAGTTTGCTCCACTGAGCTCTCACATGAGGATCTCTCTCTTCCTCCTCTCTCAATCCTCCTCCTCCTCTCTCTCATCCTCTCCCTTCCTCTTCCTCTCTCTCCCTCCCTCCATCCCTCTCCCTCTCCGTTCCCCTCCTCCCCCCTCCCCCTCCTCCTCCTCCCCTCCTCTCTTCTCTCCCTTCCACCTCCTCTCCCTCCCTCTCTTCCCCCTCCTCCTCTCTTCTCTCCCTCCCTCTCTTCCCCCTCCTCCCTCTCCCTCCATCCTCCTCTCTCTCCCCCTCTCTTCTTCCTCCTCTCTCTTCCTCCTCTCTCTTCCTTCATCTCCTCTTTCCAACATCTATGTGGGCCGAGCTTGACTGAAGCGCGGCTTCACTCTAAAAGAAGACAGAAAGGGGGGACAACTAATTCAGAAAAGGGGGAGACAGACATAGGAGGGTAGGGGGAGACAATGTGCCTGTGTGTGTGTGTACCTGAGGGTTTTCTCAGGACCACTCTGTCGTCCGCTGGCCTGGGAGGAGGACTTGAACTGGGCCTCTAGCCTGGAGTAGATCCCTGCTGCACGCTGGAACAACCACAATCACCAGTGACAACCACACTATACACAATGTAAATGAAGAAAGTTTCATGTTTCAACTTTCTAGTGTTTTATCCCCTACTAAAAATAAAGGTGTAATCAACTCACTACTACACACCTCTTTAGTGTCCTTGGACTTGCTCTGGTCCTGCTCTCCAAACCTCATCTTAGTCAGATGGCCAATGATCTCCACCATACGCCGCTGGTCTGGGGGACACGGAGGGGGAGAGAGAGGGAGGGAGGGGGAGGACAATTATAATGCACATAACTATCGTAACACATGCACACACACAAAGTTAACGGAGGCCTGCCTGTGTTACCTTCCTCTCTTTGGGCATCTTGGTTGTAGCGCATGGAGCGAGAGCTGTCCCATTTACTCTTCTGGGCACTGACTCTGGAAACACAAACTATTTAAAACATAGATACATAAATGGTGAAATAGATGAAGAAGCATGTAGTTGATGAAGTTGACCTCACCTGAATGGAGTGTTGTCCCTCGAAGGTGTCTGTAAAGAAACCAACAGAATTTGGAAAAGTACGAAAATTGCAATTATTTAAGTCTCAGGTATAAACGAGAGAAGTACACTCACTTTCTCCACTGCTTTCTCTTTGCGGTGGAAACTGGGTGAGGACATCTGCCTCTTCAGAGGTTTGCTCGACTTCTTGGCCTTCTTAGCAGCTAACAATGAACACATAGAAAACCCATATGTTGTTACATCCATAAGCAGTGTACACATACATTCATGATTCAATTACAACTGATAGCTCATAGCTGCAGACAGATTTCAAAATGTATACAAACCCCAATTCAATTTCACAATGACCAGCCCATGCACCCATAAGGTACTGCCATCTGCTGGCTGTAGTGCGCTACACCTTACTTCTTCATTTAGATATGTTCATTTATTTATTTCAATAAACACAGTGGTGATTCATCATAACATACAGTGTGGTCTTCTGACATAGGGACAATCTCAATTGAGTTTCCTTGATTCCTCGTGTCCTCTTTCCTCACCACCTTCTCAAAACCCATTAGACGAGGTCAGAGGTCCCTCCCCTCTGACCTTCTCATCCAATGGGTTTTCAGAAGAAGGCGAGGAGAGAGGACACGAGGAATCAAGGAAACGCAATTGAGATTGTCCCCTACTCTACCTTGTTTGAAAGCCTGTTTGGTAATTGGCATTTGGTATTTATTAGGATCCCCATTAGCCGCTGTAAAAGCATCAGCTACTCTTCCTGGGTTCCACATGAAACATGACATAATACATAGTACAGAACATTATTAGTCAAGGACTGAAATACATACATTTACAACGCCACACATAGCCCACATATCAGTACATCCACACAATATCTAGGTATAATACAGTGCAAATTACAATACAAGATAAATAAAATGGCTGTGTCTCTTCACAGTCCCCTTTGTGCAGTAAGGTGTTTTTTTTTAATCTGCTTTTTGAATCTGGTTTTATTGCTAGCTTGAGTTACCTGGGGTGGCATAGAGTTTCCATGTAGTCATGGCTCTATTTAATACTGTGTGTTTCCCAGCCTCTGTCCTGGACCTGGGGACTGTGAAGAGGCCTCTGGTTGCATGTCCTGTGTTGTACCGACAAGTGTGCGAACTGTGTGCCAACTGCTTGAACAGACAGTTCGGTACCTTCAACACATCCAATACCAAAACTAGGGCCTAAAGGACCTTTCTGGTCGACAGATGTCAAGAAGGCAGAGCAACGCCATATCATTGACAGACCTCTTCCTATTTTAGCAACCATTGAGTCTATATGTTTTGATGACAGCTTGCTAGGGTGACACCCAGCAGTTTAGTCTCCTTAACTTGCTCAATCGCCACATTATTCAATAATAGATCTAAATTAGGTTTAGCATTGAGCAAGTGATTTATCCCAAAAATTATGCTTTTCATTTTTTTGATATTTAGCTCCAGCCTATTGCTTGTTAACCATTCTAAAACTACCTGGAGCTCTATGTTAAGGGTGTCAGTTATTTATTTTACTGTTGCAGCCGACGTGTATACTGTTGAGTCGTCAGCGTACATAGACACACAGGCTTTATTCAAGGGCAGTGGAAGGTCATTAGTAAAAATGGAAAACAATGTCCCTAGCCGGCTGCCCTGCGGAACACCACACTCAACTGAATTTAGTCAATGAATTATACATTACACCTAGCCAATCCACATTTAATAACTCTGGTTCAAATCCTGACAATTAATCTAGTAAAAAATTGTCCCTGTCCTTGTGCAGTAGTGATTTATCCTTTTGACGTTTTACATTCTACGATCTGGTCAGAGTTCTGTAGTCTGCTTATTAACTGTAGTTCCCGCTCTGTTCTAGATGGGACTGTGAAGAGGCCATCTAGTGCTTGTGTTGTCCTGCATTCCAACTGGGCACTTTGAACGTCATTTGTAGCAACCATCCATTACCAACGACTGGCTAAATTTGGTGCAGATTCACAAGCGCTATACGCCATGATGCGATTGAACCCTTCATTTAGCAAAGACATTTTGATGCACTGCTAGTGCACCAGGTTATGCTCCTTAACTAGCAGTGCAGTTATTCAAATGTTCTAAGTTGGTTTGCATGACAGTGATTTCCCAAATGATGCTGTCATGTGAATTTCATATTATTGGTAATTCAATATGAAATGTCAGAATAATAGTAGAGAGAATGATTTATTTCAGCTTTTATTTCTTTCATCACATTCCCAGTGGGTCAGATGTTTACATACACTCAATTAGTATTTGGTAGCATTGCCTTTAAAATTGTTTAACTTGGGTCAAACATTTCGGGTAGCCTTCCACAAGCTTCCCACAATAAGTTGGGTGAATTTTGGCCCATTCCTCCTGACAGAGCTGGTGTAACTGAGTCAGGTTTGTAGGCCTCCTTGCTCGTACATGCTTTTTCAGTTCTGCCCACACATTTTCTATAGGATTGGAGGTCAGGGCTTTGTGATGGCCACTCCAATACCTTGACTTTGTTGTCCTTAAGCCATTTTGCCACAACTTTGGAAGTATGTTTGGGGTCATTGTCCATTTGGAAGACCCATTTGCGACCAAGCTTTAACTTCCTGACTGATGTCTTGAAATGTTGCTTCAATATATTCACATAAGTTTCCTTCCTCATGATGCCATCTATTTTGTGAAGTGCACCAGTCCCTCCTGCAGCAAAGCACCCCCACAGCATGATGCTGCCACCCCCGTGCTTCATGGTTGGGATGGTGTTCTTCGGCTTGCAAGCTGCCCCCTTTTTCCTCCAAACATAACGATGGTCATTATGGCCAAACAGTTCTATTTTTGTTTCATCAGACCAGAGGACATTTCTCCAAAAAGTATGATCTTTGTCCCCATGTGCAGTTGCAAACCATAGTCTGGCTTTTCTATGGCGGTTTTGGAGCAGTGGCTTCTTCCTTGCAGAGCGGCCTTTCAGGTTATGTCGATATAGGTCTCGTTTTACTGTGGATATAGATACTTTTGTACCTGTTTCCTCCAGCATCTTCACAAGGTCCTTTGCTGTTGTTCTGGGATTGATTTGCACTTTTCACACCAAAGTACGTTCATCTCTAGGAGACAGAACGCGTCTCCTTCCTGAGCGGTATGATGGCTGCGTGGTTCCATGGTGTTTATACTTGCGTACTATTGTTTGTACAGGTGAACGTGGTACCTTCAGGCTTTGGAAATTGCTCCCAAGGATGAACCAGACTTGTGGAGGTCTACAATTTCTTTTCTGAGGTCTTGGCTGATTTCTTTTGATTTTCCCATGATGTCAAGCAAAGAGGCACTGAGTTTGAAGGTAGGCCTTGAAATACATCCACAGGTACACCTCCAATTGACTCAAATGATGTCAATTGGCTTTAGAACCTTCTGATAGGCTATGACATCATTTTCTGGAATTTTCCAAGCTGTTTAAAGGCACAGTCAACTTAGTGTATGTAAACTTCTGACCCACTGGAATTGTGATATAGTGAATTATAAGGAAAAAATTACTTGTGTCATGCACAAAGTAGAGGTCCTAACCGACTTGCCAAAACTATAGTTTGTTAACAAGAAATGTGTGGAGTGGTTGAAAAATGATTTTTAATGACTCCAACCTAAGTGTACGTAAACTTCCGACTTCAACTGTAGGTAACTCTCAATCCATAATAAGGCAGAGGATGCAAATCCATAACACCTACGTTTTTTTCAGCAATAGGTTATGACCAATGACATCCAAAGCTGCACTAAAGTCTAACAGAGCATCTTCCACAATCTTCTTAGTATCAATTTCTTTCAGCCAATCATCAGTCATTTGTGTCAGTGCCAAGCATGTTGAGTACCCTTCCCTATAAGCCTGCTGAAAGTCTGTTGTTTATTAGTTTTCTGTAAAATAACTTTGTATTTGATCAAACACTATTTTTTTCAGAGTTTGCTAAGCACTTGTAACATGCTGATTGGTCGGCTGTTTGAACCATTAAAGGGTGCTCTGCTATTCTTGGGCAGCGGAATGACCTTTGCCTCCCTCCATGTCTGAGGGCACACACCGTCTTCTAGGCTTAAATTGAAGATGTGGCCAACAGGAGTAACAATGTATTCCGCCACCAACCTCCGCAATTTACCATCCAGGTTGTCGGTACCAGGTGGTTTGTCCTTATTTATAGATAGCAACCATTTTTTCACCTCTTCCACACCCACTTTGTGTAACTCAAAACTACAGTGCTCGTCTTTCATTATTTGGTCCATTATGTATGAAGGCTCAGCGTTTGTTGTTTGAATTTGCTAATCTTGTCAATAAAAAAGCTATTAAAGTGGTTGGCAATATCAACGTTTTTTAAATGAACAAGCCCTCTGCCTCAATGACAGATGGAGCAGAGTTAGCTTTTTCGCCTAGAATTTCATTTAAAATACTGCAGAGCTTTTTACTATCATTCTTTATATCATTTATCTCTGTTCCATAGTATAGTTGATTCTTCTTTTTGTTTAGTTTAGTTGTGTGATTTCTCAGTTGCCTGTATGTTTGCCAGTCTGCTGTGTTGTCAGACTCATTTGCCATTCCCTTTGCCTCATCCCTCTCAGCCATATTGTTTTTTAATTAGAGTATAAACCAAATCAGATAGCCTAATTACTCTACCTTGTTTCTTGGTGGCCTCCTCTTCATCCCCCACCTCGTCCTCAGTGACCTCTGACCCCGTGGTATACTCCTCATCCTCAGACAGCAGTGTCTGCTGCCTCTGACACAGGGGATCAAAGGAGGGCATGTCAGGGCTTAGATAGCCTGGTCCCAGATCTGTTTGGGGTCTAACCTTACACCATTTGCTCATGAACTAAGCATGAGGAGTTGGAATGACAGCGCGAACAGACTGGACCCTCAGCCTTCAGCTGGTTCAGTTGGTACTAAGGTATACTGTGTCACTACTGTAACATGTCACCTCATACACACACAAACACACCAATACAGACACGGACACACACACACACTGCAGCACAATTACATCTGGAAACAATAGAAGTTGATCATACCAGTTGCCGGCTCCAGTTTTTCAACAGGGAAAACTGCAAAGAAATAGGTTGAGTTAGCTAGGCCTATAGTGTATCTGTTTGAAATAGGTTGAATCAGACTATAGGCCTATCGATGACTCCACAAATCAAGCGCAAGTCAACGTTTATTGTCATGAATCTTGCCCTGTAGGCAGAACCGAGTGATTTCTGAAGATGGGCCAGCAGCAAGGTCAAAATTGGCTAGATCGTAACAATTAATTTTAACAAAATTAATATAAGGTTAGGATTGATTATGCATTAGGGTTAGCAGTGTGGTTAAGGTTAGGTTTAAAATCAGATGTTATGTAGTATGTAGCTAGTAGACAAATGTGTAGCCAGATAGGTATATCAATGATGTCTGGTCGTCATTGTAAATAACAAGTTTGAGCAAGAACACTAAAGTTTCTTTAAACTTTTCATTCTAGTTGTGAACATGAATTTGATCTCAATTGACTTGCCTGGATAAATAAATAAATAGTTGTAGACTCACGGTGGTGCCCTCTGCTCTCTGAAGTCCCAGAAACCCCGGCTCTACCAGGATGTCACAGTCCAGTACCCGCTCCCCCCTCTCCGAACCACTGGAGGGGGACTCTACAGGCCTGGCACACAGACACAGAGAGAGAGAGAGAGAGAAACAGGGGAGTACCATTAAACGCAAAACCTATCATAAGACACAAAAACACACCACGCACGCACGCACACACACACTCACTGTCTCTTACCCTGTCTCTGGAGGGGGTGTGCTGGGTACACACACTGTCTCTTACCCTGTCTCTGGAGGGGGTGTGCTGGGTACACACACTGTCTCTTACCCTGTCTCTGGAGGGGGTGTGCTGGGTACAACACTGTCTCTTACCCTGTCTCTGGAGGGGGTGTGCTGGGTACACACACTGTCTCTTACCCTGTCTCTGGAGGGGGTGTGCTGGGTACAACACTGTCTCTTACCCTGTCTCTGGAGGGGGTGTGCTGGGTACAACACTGTCTCTTACCCTGTCTCTGGAGGGGGGGTGCTGGGTACAACACTGTCTCTTACCCTGTCTCTGGAGGGGGTGTGCTGGGTACACACACTGTCTCTTACCCTGTCTCTGGGGGGGGTGTGCTGGGTACAACACTGTCTCTTACCCTGTCTCTGGAGGGGGTGTGCTGGGTACACACACTGTCTCTTACCCTGTCTCTGGAGGGGGGGTGCTGGGTACACACACTGTCTCTCTGTGTAGTAGCAGGTCGTTGAGTAGTCTGGTCTGTGCTGAGTTTACCTGGTGGTCCCCAGTACAGTCTCCACTGTCTGACACATTCACTATGTGGTCCCGCATCTTACAGCCCTGAGACACACAGACACACACACACACACGGTTTTGACAAGATTCAAGTGTGAAGTGTGTTAAATGTGTAAACTATTCAAAACATGGTCACCTCACAACTCCAAGTGTGAGTGAGTGAGTGTGTATTCCTACCTTGGGCATGCCGGTGGGGTCAAAGCGTAGCGTCCTCTGGTTGCAGCAGGGGTAGATGCCCGCCCCGTGCCAGCCCTGCTCTGCCCCCATGCCCGGGTACAACACACCCTCTGGGTGATACCGACAGTGGGACAGCTCTGCACACACAAACGCCTGGACACACACACACACGGTATTGACAAACAATCATTCTGAATGCATTGTCATTACACAATGTTACTAGGGCTTCCCCTACCTGTTGGCAGTGGGAGCAGGTGAGGTGGTTGACGGTACCCCAGATCCTCCAGTAGACCAGCACCCAGGACTTCAGCTCCTCATACAGCCCTGTCATGTAATCATGGACCTCCCATCTCTTCTGCCTACAGACCAGTGGTAGTCATAGAACATGTAATCATGGACCTCCCATCTCTTCTGTCTACAGTCCAGTGGTAGTCATAGAACATGTAATCATGGACCTCCCATCTCTTCTGCCTACAGACCAGTGGTAGTCATAGAACATGTAATCATGGACCTCCCATCTCTTCTGCCTACAGACCAGTGGTAGTCATAGAACATGTAATCATGGACCTCCCATCTCTTCTGCCTACAGACCAGTGGTAGTCATAGAACATGTAATCATGGACCTCCCATCTCCTCTGTCTACAGACCAGTGGTAGTCATAGAACATGTAATCATGGACCTCCCATCTCTTCTGCCTACAGACCAGTGGTAGTCATAGAACATGTAATCATGGACCTCCCATCTCTTCTGTCTACAGACCAGTGGTAGTCATAGAACATGTAATCATGGACCTCCCATCTCTTCTGCCTACAGACCAGTGGTAGTCATAGAACATGTAATCATGGACCTCCCATCTCTTCTGCCTACAGACCAGTGGTAGTCATAGAACATGTAATCATGGACCTCCCATCTCTTCTGTCTACAGACCAGTGGTAGTCATAGAACATGTAATCATGGACCTCCCATCTCTTCTGCCTACAGTCCAGTGGTAGTCATAGAAATGACTGTCCTTTATTCTGTTCATGTTTCTTGAAGCTGTTCCGCCACTAAACAATTTTGTCCAGCCTGGTCCTTGGAACCAACTCACTGGCCTTATGGTTAGAGTGTCCACCCTGAGATTGGAAGGTTGGGAGTTCTGCTTGGCACTCAGCATTAAGGAGATAGATTGGGGGTAAGGCCCTGAGATTGGAAGGTTGGGAGTTCTGCTTGGCACTCAGCATTAAGGAGATAGATTGGGGGTAAGGCCCTGAGATAGACTAGTGTCCTGTCCAGGGGGTGTACTGGTACATCACGCTGCCTCGCTACAGAAACAGGAGATAGGCTCCTGCTCCTATGAGCAGTTCCGGCTCGTACAAGCCAAGGCTACTTACTGGTCCTTGGAGACGGATATTCAGGCTTTACTGTGCTTTATTGCTAAGTACCCTTTCTACCTGGGATATACTTTGAAATGACATGGTAAATTGTAGCTATAATATATTTACCTAATAATGACATGGTTTCTTTAGCATTTATCACTATAAACATCCATAGGATAACAGTGAAGATGTATCTTGATAGAGCAGAAATAAGTAATATAATAATAATAATAATAATAATAATAATAATATATTCCATATAGCAGACGTTTTTATCCAAAGCGACTTAACCGTAAATCACAGTCCACAGACGCTGAGAGACGTTGGTCCGGCATCCCAATGTAACATAGCTACGCAGCTCTGAGTCCACCATCCGCGGGGCACGCACAGCCCGAACACGTATCTCCCCACAATTCCCAACCAACGACTTTCCGGTACACGTCCTCTATTAATTTGAATGTGTTGACAGTTAGAGAAATTGCTTGAGCTGCGCTGAGAATTTGAATAGTATGAAACCCAACGGTGCAATATTCTAGAACATTGCTGTGCGTACGAGTCCATGTTTGGTACTCTGATAGACCCTTTACAGTCATGCGTGCATACATTTTACGTACAGTGGGGAAAAAAAGTATTTAGTCAGCCACCAATTGTGCAAGTTCTCCCACTTAAAAAGATGAGACAGGCCTGTAATTTTCATCGTAGGTACACGAGTTGAGTTTTTACCAAAAAGTTCTATTTTGGTTTCATCTGACCATATGACATTCTCCCAATCCTCTTCTGGATCATCCAAATGCACTCTAGCAAACTTCAGACGGGCCTGGACATGTACTGGCTTAAGCAGGGGGACACGTCTGGCACTGCAGGATTTGAGTCCCTGGCGGCGTAGTGTGTTACTGATGGTAGGCTTTGTTACTTTGGTCCCAGCTCTCTGCAGGTCATTCACTAGGCCCCCCCGTGTGGTTCTGGGATTTTTTCTCACCGTTCTTGTGATTATTTTGACCCCACGGGGTGAGATCTTGCGTGGAGCCCCAGATCGAGGGAGATTATCAGTGGTCTTGTATGTCTTCCATTTTCTAATAATTGCTCCCACAGTTGATTTCTTCAAACCAAGCTGCTTACCTATTGCAGATTCAGTCTTCCCAGCCTGGTGCAGGTCTACAATTTTGTTTCTGGTGTCCTTTGACAGCTCTTTGGTCATGGCCATAGTGGAGTTTGGAGTGTGACTGTTTGAGGTTGTGGACAGGTGTCTTTTATACTGATAACAAGTTCAAACAGGTGCCATTAATACAGGTAACGAGTCGAGGACAGAGGAGCCTCTTAAAGAATAAGTTACAGGTCTGTGAGAGCCAGAAATCTTGCTTGTTTGTAGGTGACCAAATACTTATTTTCCACCATAATTTGCAAATAAATTCATAAAAAATCCTACAATGTGATTTTCTGGAAATAAAATTCTCAATTTGTCTGTCATAGTTGACGTGTACCTATGATGAAAATTACAGGCCTCTCTCATCTTTTTAAGTGGGAGAACTTGCACAATTGGTGGCTGACTAAATACTTTTTTCCCCCACTGTATGGGTGGCCACAGAGGGAATCGAACCCACAACCAACGCTAGGTGGCGTTGTAAGCGCCACCAAGGTGTAACTGGGTGGTACAGGACCTGCTGTGAGTGTAGGTGATGTCTCCTCGAGGGTCGATGTTGATCTTCCCTGGGATGCAGGAGATCTTCCTCTCTGTGTCCTTGGTCAGCAGCTTCAGGCACAGAGCACACCTGGGAAAGACAAGTTGCAGTTCGGTGGTTAGGAGAGGTTAACATATTTTACATTTACATTTTAGTCATTTAGCAGACGCTCTTATCCAGAGCGACTTACAGTTAGTGAATACATAATATATATATATATATATATATATATATATATATATATATATATTTTTTTTTTATACTGGCCCCCCCCTGGGAAACGTACCCACAACCCTGGCGTTGCAAACGCCATGCTCTATCAACTGAGCTACATCCCTGCCGGCCATTCCCTCCCCTACCCTGGACGACGCTGGGCCAATTGTGCGCCGCCCCATGGGTCTCCCGGTCGTGGCCGGCTGCGACAGAGTCGTATTCACTGGGCACAAACAGAAGAAAACAGACTGAAACAGGTAGGCATCTACCTAGTGTCATGACTCTCTCCTTGGTGAGGATCAAAGGTGCCAGATCAGCTTGGCAAATGGCTGACAGATAGCCAGACCCCCCCCTCTCTCCCACAGGAGAGGAGACGGAGGAGTTGGGATGGTTTTATCACTTAACAGCCGGTCATAAATAGTTTGCAGAAAAGGACTCATTTTGGTCTCTAGTATGAGAAGAATTAGATTTTCTTTGTTCCAGAGACTTTTGCCGCCAAAACTATAAACGTCCAAAAAGTAAACACTGGAACAATAATCCTAACATCCGAATGTTTGGAATGGTCAGTGGGGGTCTAAAGAATAATCATGTCATATTGTTTATTATTTTGTGATGTTATTAAAAACTGTATGAACCAAATACTGTAACTTAAGAAGGATACCCCCTTTATCTGTCAAGTTTACATCTAAATGTTGTATAAAATATATGATTAAAGTATGAGAGTATTTTGGTGAAGATAGGAATGTGATTTTAGTCTTTAATGAGATAATAGTTTTTCATATAAACTATGCACAGGGACTAGCCACACCCCAAGTGCCATCAGAGATCGTGTCAGCAAGTAGGAACGCCCCTTTTACCAAGAGGGCTTGAAAGACAAATTAACAACAGACCTGCACGTCTAGAACGGTTAGAAACTGTGAATCAGAGACCAGGAAGCGTGGAGCTGTGGCTACACGGCTTTAAATTGGTTAGACCAGAAAGACCAGCCGCTGTGGCTACACGGCTTTAAAATGGTTAGACCAGAAAGACCAGCCGACGTGAAGCGCGAGCTCACGTTACAAATGGTTGAACATCTACAGGACCAGCCGACGTGCAGCGGAAACTGAACGTTACAAATGGTTGAACATCTACAGGACCAGCCGACGTGCAGCGGAAACTGAACGTTACAAATGGTTGACACTAAGTACAGGAAACGGTGAGAAACTCTGAAACTCTCAATCTCTACACAAGAAGAAGAAGAAACTCACTAGACTGTATCATCTCAGTCTGCAGCTGGCATGTAAAGTTATCTAGAACGTTCACTGAAGACACGAGTTGGGAACGACAATCCCATCTCAGACACGCCATTCGAAGACAAGCCGAGTCTCACCGAAGTGGGATGAAACACTCAAAACCTTTTTTTGAGAAAGTGGTTCAACAGAGAGACGACGATCAAGGACAGCTACGTGTAAATATACGCATTGCATTTCTTATCCGAATGAGCGGTGTTTAGGGTGCTAAGTATTACGATTACTGTGAGCGTGTTTCCAAATGTAACAACGATAAATTGAATCTCTGTCTCTCCCTTTCACTTGACCCCTCCTTCCCCTAACCAAGCAGTCATGCTATTGTTAGTCCAGTCCACTAGGGACCTGTTTTCATTGTATTACGTTAGTAATCAATAATCTATACTGTGTGTGTGTGTGTTTATGTATTCTGTGTTATTATTTAGTTAGTTAGTAAATAAATAATTAAGCCAATTTGTGTATTGCTGATTCATCCATAAGGTTAGGTTTCTTGTAGGTTCAAGGATTATGCGATATTCAGAATGAGACTGATGAGGTCATGATTTAATAAGTGACTGTTATCGATATATAACATATATATATATATATATATATATATATATATATATCTTCTAAGAGTTTAATTCGGGAGATCTTCTAAGAGTTTAACTCGTTAAACAACTTCTTCCGTGGTGCCACAACTTCCTAATGAGTTAATTGTTACATGATTAATTTAATCAAGTAACAATTAAACATAGTTAATTGATTTGATAAATAACAGCAATCACATTAATGCAAAGTCACGTCACGACACTGTCCAGTAAGAAATGCTCATTTTCATTTTTCTGTTGCAAAATGTTTTCTGTTGTGTGCCCAAATGAATAAGACCAATGACAGACAGACCAATGCACCCCAGAGCTGCCACACACCTGTACAGAGTTGATGCGTTGCCTGGGGAGTCCTGGTTCTTATAGTCAGGATCGAAGAGACACTCAATCTTCTTCTGGAATAACTTACTGAGAAAGGGAGAAATCAAAGGTGTTGGCAGAAGCAGAATGATCGGTCTACCAGGCCTGCCAAAATCTCTAGGCCTACCTTTTGAACTTGTCTTTTCTGTCCATGACGTCGTCTGCCTCGTTGTGGCTGAAGAGGTCAGCGATGTGCGCTGCCAGGTTACTGTTGATGCAGTTCATGTTGCAGGGTGTGGCCACGATGGCACTCATGTGCTTGTGACAGTACTGAATACACTCCTCCACCTATGAGAGGTCAACATGTGACAGTACTGAATACTTCTCCACCTATGAGAGGTCAACATGTGATAGTACTGAATACACTCCTCCACCTATGAGAGGTCAACATGTGACAGTACTGAATACACTCCTCCACCTATGAGAGGTCAACATGTGACAGTACTGAACAAGTATTTGATACACTGCCGATTTTGCAGGTTTTCCTACTTTCAAAGAATGTAGAGGTCTGTAATTTTTATCATAGGTACACTTCAACTGTGAGAGTCTAAAACAAAAATCCAGAAAATCACATTGTATGATTTTTAAGTAATTAACTTGCATTTTATTGCATGACATAAGTATTTGATCACCTACCAACCAGTAAGAATTCCGGCTCTCACAGACCTGTTAGTTTTTCTTTAAGAAGCCCTCATGTTCTCCACTCATTACCTGTATTAACTGCACCTGTTTGAACTCGTTACCTGTATAAAAGACACCTGTCCACACACTCAATCAAACAGACTCCAACCTCTCCACAATTGTCAAGACCAGAGAGCTGTGTAAGGACATCAGGGATACAATTGTAGACCTGCACAAGGCTGGGATGGGCTACAGGACAATAGGCAAGCAGCTTGGTGAGAAGGCAACAACTGTTGGCGCAATTATTAGAAAATGGAAGAAGTTCAAGATGACGGTCAATCACCCTCGGTCTGGGGCTCCATGCAAGATCTCACCTCGTGGGGCATCAATGATCATGAGGAAGGTGAGGGATCAGCCCAGAACTACACGGCAGGACCTGGTCAATGACATGAAGAGAGCTGGGACCACAGTCTCAAAGAAAACCATTAGTAACACACTACGCCGTCATGGATTAAAATCCTGCAGCGCACGCAAGGTCCCCCTGCTCAAGCCAGCGCATGTCCAGGCCCGTCTGAAGTTTGCCAATGACCATCTGGATGATCCAGAGGAGGAATGGGAGAAGGTCATGTGGTCTGATGAGACAAAAATAGAGCTTTTTGGTCTAGATTCCACTCGCCGTGTTTGGAGGAAGAAGAAGGATGAGTACAACCCCAAGAACACCATCCCAACCGTGAAGCATGGAGGTGGAAACATCATTCTTTGGGGATGCTTTTCTGCAAAGGGGACAGGACGACTGCACCGTATTGAGGGGAGGATGGATGGGGCCATGTATTGCGAGATCTTGGCCAATAACCTCCTTCCCTCAGTAAGAGCATTGAAGATGGGTTGTGGCTGGGTCTTCCAGCATGACAACGACCCGAAACACACAGCCAGGGCAACTGAGGAGTGGCTCCGTAAGAAGCATCTCAAGGTCCTGGAGTGGCCTAGCCAGTCTCCAGACCTGAACCCAATAGAAAATCTTTGGAGGGAGCTGAAAGTCCGTATTGCCCGGCGACAGCCCCGAAACCTGAAGGATCTGGAGAAGGTCTGTATGGAGGAGTGGGCCAAAATCCCTGCTGCAGTGTGTGCAAACCTGGTCAAGACCTACAGGAAACGTATGATCTCTGTAATTGCAAACAAAGGTTTCTGTACCAAATATTAAGTTCTTCTTTTCTGATGTCATGCAATAAAATGCAAATGAATTACTTAAAAATCATACAATGTGATTTTCTGGATTTTTGATTCCGTCTCTCACAGTTGAAGTGTACCTATGATAAAAATTACAGACCTCTACATGCTTTGTAAGTAGGAAAACCTGCAAAATCGGCAGTGTATCAAATACTTGTTCTCCCCACTGTATGAGAGGTCAACATGTGACAGTACAGAATACACTCCTCCACCTATGAGAGGTCAACATAAACAGGCTATTGAGTTTGTTCAATGCCTTGGGAGGTCATGTAACATGTTACAATTCTAAAAACACCTCTAATGGCAACCATGCAACAGGAAGTTAACAGTTCGAAAGGCCCCTCGTTTTCTGTTTTGGACTAAAGTGAAGAGTGAAGCCTCTTCGCCTAACTAGCTGATTGGTTTTCCGTTTTTTTTCTCTAGGGCTATTTTACTCAACGACCAACAAAAGCTTGCTGGTTCATGTACTGGTTCATGTACTGGTTCACGTACTGGTTCATGTACTGGTTCATGTGCTGTAGCAGAGAGGAAGAGGCGAAGCGAGAGGTTTCACTCCTCGCCAAAATCTGTCCAAAATATTTTCAGTTCAGCCACTTTGCGTTTGTTCTTCAGCTACAACAGAAAACCAGGGCCCCCCGAAAACGCTTCACGTACAGTACATTGCAACCGGCATAGCAACCCAGCTCACGCCATTACAACACTTACTAACATGTCCATCTTCAAGAACTCGGAGGAGATGAGGATTGAGATCACATTGCTGGGCTCTGTAACCACACAACCGACAAACACCACATAACCAACCAATGTTACCATACAACCAACAAACACCACATAACCAACCAATGTTACCACACAACCAACAAACACCACATACCGACCAAACACACTGCCAGGCCAACCAACAAGCACACCACTATTAGTGATCAAATCACAGCAATGCCGTCTCCATGGTTATCATTTGACACGCCCAGGTAAGTGAATGGTTTAGTACTGTACAGGCATCAGTGTATGTAGCTACTGTACAGTCATATGGTGCGAGAGCATATATTAAATTATTTACCGAGCTTGGGTTTGTCATTGTTGCCATCAACGGCCATTTTGTGCCTCTTGACGTAGTTCATGAGCCAGTCGAAGATCTGTACGTCACAGTGCACAGAGATGTCCACCTCCTCCCAGCGCTGGGGGTCAACAGAGAGGTACTCAGCAAAGTAACGCATCTCGTTGATCAGAAGGTCACGGGGACACATGAAGTCCTGCTTCAGGTTCTTAGACTCGTCACACACGTGGATCACCATATTGGGCCTGCATGGGGGAGAGAGATACAGACAGGCAGACAGGCAAGCAGACACACACACAGAGACAGAGACAGCGAGATAACTTGATTTTTGTATCATAGTACATATGAGCATTTGTTAGCAGACTAAGTTCTTGATCCTGCTCTATGAAACTCTTTGATCACCTTGACTTGAGCTGGACTGGTTAACAGTGTATTTCTGTTTGACGGTAGTTAGACCAGGCAAATCAGCATGTGTGTCACTCACCCTTTCCCCTCCTGGGGCTTCTCTCCCTCCTCTGCAGAGTCCCTGCTCTCTTTCTCCACCGAGCTACCTCTTGAAGGGTTCACCGCCAGGCCTGGAGAGTGGAGACACCAAACAAGACTGTGTAGCTCACTGAGCTAAAGCCTAGACATTCAGACATGAAGAGTCTTCAGGTCTTACTGCCTGCTACATTGGACGCAGAACTTTAGCATCTTGACTTGCTGCGTCACCGCTTGGTATGGCAACTGCACCGCCCTCGATCACAAGGCGCTACAGAGGGTGGTGCGGGCGGCCCAGTACATCACTGGGGCTGAGCTCCCTGCCGTCCAGGACATCTATACCCCAGCCACCCGAGCCATAGACTGTTCACTCTGCTACCGCATGGCAAGTGGTACCGGAGCACCAAATCTGGGACCAAAAGGCACCCGAACAGCTTCTACCCCCAAACCATAAGACTGCTGAACAATTAATCAAATGGCTACCCGGACTATTTACATTTACCCTTTTTTGCACTGACTCTCTTACACTGGCTTTATGCACACTCACTGGACTCTACCCACACACACGCACTCTCCACATACACTGCTGCTACTCTGGAAAGGGTTCGTCGGTAAGCATTTCACGGTAAAGTGTACACCGGTTGTATTCAGCGGCATGTGACAAATGACAATTGATTCGATTTTTTGCTGGGTGTGAGACGCTCCTATTCATTTAAATGGAAGTCTGGTTCTATTTCCAAGATTTCCACTTGCGGCTCAAGCCCAGAACACTAGGATAAAATAGCTCGCACTCGGATCACGCTGGCAAAGCTACGTGTGTTCAGTGTAGCAGGTAAAAAACGTACTGCATTTGGGACGCCCCAGCAGCTCCTATGTTAGGCAGGACTACCCCCAGCAGCTCCTATGTTAGGCAGGACTACCCCCAGCAGCTCCTATGTTAGGCAGGACTACCCCCAGCAGCTCCTATGTTAGGCAGGACTACCCCCAGCAGCTCCTATGTTAGGCAGGACTACCCCCAGCAGCTCCTATGTTAGGCAGGACTACCCCCAGCAGCTCCTACAGTGAGGGGAAAATAGTATTTGATCCCCTGCTGATTTTGTACGTTTGCCCACTGACAAAGAAATTATCAGTCTTTAATTTTAATGGTAGGTTTATTTGAACAGTGAGAGACAGAATAACAACAAAAAAATCCAGAAAAACACATGTCAAAAATGTTATAAATTGATTTGCATTTTAATGAGGGAAATAAGTATTTGACCCCCTGTCAATCAGAAAGATTTCTGGCTCCCAGGTGTCTTTTATACAGGTAACGAGCTGAGATTAGGAGCACACTCTTAAAGGGAGTGCTCCTAATCTCAGTTTGTTACCTGTATAAAAGACACCTGTCCACAGAAGCAATCAATCAGATTCCAAACTCTCCACCATGGCCAAGACCAAAGAGCTCTCCAAGGATGTCAGGGACAAGATTGTAGACCTACACAAGGCTGGAATGGGCTACAAGACCATCACCAAGCAGCTTGGTGAGAAGGTGACAACAGTTGGTGTGATTATTCGCAAATGGAAGAAACACAAAATAACTGTCAATCTCCCTCGGCCTGGGGCTCCATGCAAGATCTCACCTCGTGGAGTTGCAATGATCATGAGAACGGTGAGGAATCAGCCCAGAACTACACGGGAGGATCTTGTCAATGATCTCAAGGCAGCTGGGACCATAGTCACCAAGAAAACAATTGGTAACACACTATGCCGTGAAGGACCTGAAATCCTGCAGCGCCCGCAAGGTCCCCCTGCTCAAGAAAGCACATATACAGGTCTGTCTGAAGTTTGCCAATGAACATCTGAATGATTCAGAGGAGAACTGGGTGAAAGTGTTGTGGTCAGATGAGACCAAAATTGAGCTCTTTGGCATCAACTCAACTCGCCGTGTTTGGAGGAGGAGGAATGCTGCCTATGACCCTGGTAGAGCACGGTGCTTGTAACGCCAAGGTAGTGGGTTCGATCCCCGGGACCACCCATACACAAAAAAATATATATAATGTATGCACGCATGACTGTAAGTCGCTTTGGATAAAAGCGTCTGCTAAATGGCATATTATTATTATTATTATTATTATTATTATTAACACCATCCCCACCGTCAAACATGGAGGTGGAAACATTATGCTTTGAGGGTGTTTTTCTGCTAAGGGGACAGGACAACTTCACCGCATCAAAGGGACGATGGACGGGGCCATGTACCGTCAAATCTTGGGTGAGAACCCCCTTCCCTCAGCCAGGGCATTGAAAATGGGTCGTGGATGGGTATCCCAGCATGACAATGACCCAAAACACACGGCCAAGGCAACAAAGGAGTGGCTCAAGAAGAAGCACATTAAGGTCCTGGAGTGCCCTAGCCAGTCTCCAGACCTTAATCCCATAGAAAATCTGTGGAGGGAGCTGAAGGTTCGAGTTGCCAAACGTCAGCCTCGAAACCTTAATGACTAGGAAAATATCTGCAAAGAGGAGTGAGACAAAATCCCTCCTGAGATGTGTGCAAACCTGGTGGCCAACTACAAGAAACGTCTGACCTCTGTGATTGCCAACAAGGGTTTTGCCACCAAGTACTAAGTCATGTTTTGCAGAGGGGTCAAATACTTATTTCCCTCATTAAATTGCAAATCAATTTATAAAAATTTTGACATGCGTTTTTCTGGATTTTTTTGTTGTTATTCTGTCTCTCATTGTTCAAATAAACCTACCATTCAAATTATAGACTGATCATGTCTTTGTCAGTGGGCAAACGTACAAAATCAGCAGGGGATCAAATACTTTTTCCCCTCACTGTATGTTAGGCAGGACTACCCCCAGCAGCTCCTATGTTAGGCAGGACTACCCCCAGCAGCTCCTATGTTAGGCAGGACTACCCCCAGCAGCTCCTATGTTAGGCAGGACTACCCCCAGCAGCTCCTATGTTAGGCAGGCTTAATCATCATCACACAGACATAGTTCCCCGAACCACTACCGCTACACATGCAGTAGCACATCAACCAGTCAGCCTCACCCGTCACTGAGATGGAGCTCTGATTGGTCCGCGTCTCCCCCGCGTCTCCCGTGGTGTCCAATAGTGTGGATTTGATGTAGGTGGACAGGGTGTCCACAGGGGAGGAGCCTCCTGCTGTCAGCGCGTTGCATTGGTCGTCCACGTGATGGAACCCTCCCGTGCTCTTCAGATCCTCAAACCTCTGCGCACACTGAAGGTAGGCATGGCAACCATGGCAACCATGTCACTACTATACCACGACAACAACAACACTCGGACCACATAATCTTGGTTCCAGTGACCCCTGCACAACATTCAACACCAGTCCAAACTAAACTAAACTATAGTATAGCTTACCTCATAATACATTGGTGGGCGCTTATATTTATCATGTTACACACTTGTACAAGTGCAATGGAAATGTGTTTCTTGCATATCCAAACTCCCCCTGAGACAGATGTGGAGAGTGAGGTCACGGCCAGGGTCACCATTTTCCAGCGCCCCTGGAGCAATTGGGGTTAAGTGCCTTGCTCAAGGGCACAGCGACAGATTTTTCACCTTGTCGGCTCTGGGATTCGAACTTTCGGTTACTGGCTCAACACTCTTACCTCGAGGCTACCTACCTAGCCTGGTCCCAGATCAGTTTGTGCTGTCTTTTCAACTCCTATGGTCATCGTCACTCCAATCAGTGTCCATAGGAGTTCGTAAGACAACGCAGACAGATCTGGGACCAGGCTAATAGCCTTTTATGATCTCTCCTTAGTGGGAGCAGTGGTTAGCAAGCTTGCCTACAGACTGGGAGACCCGGGTTGGCGATCCACAAAGGGTGTTGCACTGTAGCCGTTAGCTACTATAGCTTCAATCAATCAATATGTTTATTGTCCCAGTTTGTAGTGCATGTAGAGCTTACCTCCTTGGGTGTGAAGCCAGGGACCAGCATGGCCACGTTGTCCCAGTTGATGGGCTGTGGAACGCCCCAGAGACAGCTCAGCACCATGTCCAGGACTAGGATGTTGTTGTCATGGGGAACGTTGTTGTTGTTCAGGGTGCAGTAACGACTCATGTCTGTCTGCAGGTAAGGGTGAAAGAGTTCAAGGTTGATATGACATTATCATACATTATTACATCTGAAGGGTGAGAGAGATCAGAGCATTATTCTGTTAAAGGTAGACTCAGTGAGATGACACCATCATACAAAAGGGGGGGTGACTTCATTCTCACAGAAAGCTGCTGTTGCTACAATCGACAATCGTAACAGACTGTCTACTTGACATAGATACATAAGAATAACCAGAGCATTTATAGAAAGCTTTGACATCCAACAGCATCTCTAACCCACATTCTGGAATAGGCTACTCATACTTTGTCCCACCATTGTCACTGTCATTGAAAAGCTGACTGTCAATAGCATACGCTGTGAACAGTGTACACACATACTTTTGGCTACTTCGATGATCTTCTTGCAACAAGGATGGATGCTCCTCCCTTGGAATGCCCTTTTGTCTTTGGCTATAGAACTGCCCAACGCAAATTTAATGGCATTTTTGTCAGCAGCATATTCTAGCAAGCTAGCTACCTATAGTGCACATCACTGCACTATAAGCTAAATACGATACGTTTGTATTATAGTTCTAAAACACTTGTAGTATCTAGTTGGCTGTACGGTTATCTTGCATTTTACTGACTAAATGATGACACCTGATTCTTCTGTAGTCCGGATGATAGGACGTTCGGTGTACAGCAGCCGTCATCCACTTCTAATGCTAATGCTACTACCTAGCTAGCTGCTAGCTACTAACTGCACTTTCTCTGCAGTATCATCCCGGCGACAATTTGATGGACGGATAAGACATTCAATCAGCATTGTATACGGGATTGAAAAAGCCCGTGAATGACGTTTAGATAACGAACCACCAGTCGTTGCAGCGTCCCCAAATCTTCTGCTGCGTTGATTCCGCTCTTCCGGTGCCGCAGTGCAGCAGCCGGTGCAGTGGTCCCGCGTCCCGGGGTTGCTTAGCGACAGAAGTGCCCTTTTCGGCTAAATCAAATGATGAAGATTTTGTATCCAGCAGATGGGTCCCCACGTGTTTAACCTAGTTATAAAGGACGCATTGTATTACATTTTCAAAACAAGTAACATCCAATTGCCTTACCTCCATAACTTGCTACATTTGCACAAACTGTATATATATTTTCTGTTGTATTTTTTGACTTTATGTTTTGTTTACCCCATATGTAACTCTGTGTTGTTGTTTTTATCGCACTGCTTTGCTTTATCTTGGCCAGGTCGCAGTTGTAAATGAGAACTTGTTCTCAACTGGTTAAATAAAGGTGAAATAAATAAAATAAAATAAAAATGATATAAAACTAAAACAGGTTAATTAAGTTAGCATTTTATTTTTGCTCATGAGATGGAGCATATAATACATTTTCCATTTCTTAGTAAGAAAAAGTCAATGGCCACTTTTCCGTTTTTGAAAATGTTCATTTCCAAACTAATATGGTCTTTATTTACATAATTACAGTTTTTCAAGGAGAGTGAGGACTGAAAATGCCACTGAAACACCCCAAGATGAGGACCGCCTATTTCAGTTCTTACACGGATGGATTTCAACAAAACCTCTTGATTTAATATATCTGGATATTGGATGTTCAATATTCCAAGTTCAAAACTTCACTTTGAATATTTAGGACATTTTACAGGACATCCAAGTTATAGTCAGACCATTTCGAATTTCAAACATTTTACAACCATATTAACACCGATTTAAAACCAAGTCATTCATTCCATTGGAAGCAAATCTGAACCGTCATAGTAATTCATCCATAGAAATAGAATGAATAGAAAGGGCGTCTCCATTCTAGTCAATGATGGTATAATGGGTGGACTGGTAGACATTGAGAGTACCCATGCCTAGGTTTAAAATATTCCCCATCTTCAACCTAGACCCATGCCAGGAAGTAAAAGCAGGAAGTGTACCCTTCAATCGGGTCTGTGATGTCAACTCTACTGACATTACAAAAAAGTAATTCCATTGCATGAGCCACATCAGTTAGCATCATTTGAATAAATGTTTTACATTACCATGGCAATACAGCAGTTGATAGAACCTTCCAAAATACCATGGAAATGCTAGCATCACAATCATGCAGCCATTGCAAGTGTACCCATGAGTTTACCAGTCAAATTGCCAGGGTTAGAGCTTCCAAGCCTGTTCTATTCAATCTATTTCTATGACTAACTTTAATATCAAACCAATGACTTTAAATTGGAACAAAACAGTGAATTTCAGAAACATAATATTATGGCTTTGTCCTGTCAACGTCAAAACGATGCAATATTCTCCCAACTATTTGCATAATCTATTAGCGCACTTAATTTGATTTTAATGTACTCGTTCCGGTTATTGACTGTTAATTAAATACATCTATATCAAAAACATTTACATATGCATCATTATTGGGCTAAAACATAGTGTGACAGCACTGACTAGGCTAGTAGGATAGGTATAGGCTGGTATGGACACCCACTGACATGACACCCAAACCAGATAGTGTTCTCCAAACACTCATGTCAAGTATATCTGACAGATACCCACTTTTCCTTTATCCAGGTACTTAATACCTCATATACCAACCTCACTAATTGCTTACAGGCAGATGAAACGTAAAACCAAACCCACTGAATTATAAACATGAATCAGCCTCTGGATGAAGAGCAACTGGTTTCCCACCGCTGGACGTGACCGAGCTACACCGAACAGTTCATCAACAAACCACATACAGCCTCAACGGATGTGTGTGAAAACACACAAAGTCAGACATCACAGGTCAATCTTCTCTGGTATGGTGAGCACTGTGCTTGAAGCTGTACTGGTGCTGGGCACTACATCCAGACTACGGGGTCCCCCCAGACCCAGGCTGCTGTAAACGGCTGGTGTTTCCCTATACACGCACTCCAGCAGCTCCTCTGGGATAGTTACTGGGACGGATCCGGCTGGGCCTAGGCCTGAAACCAAGCCTGGGGCTACAGTTGGCACTGGGCCCGTAGTCAGGTTAGGCTGGGGGGCTTGGAGGGTGGTGCCCAGTGGGTTCCCTGGCTGGGCCTGAACCTGGGCCAGCCTCTCCAGCTCAGCGTGCTTCCTGCCTCTCCTCTTCCCCAGGACCTTGACGTAGTTGGCAGGGATGAGGCCCGTGGTCTGGCCGTCCACGCTGGCCAGCAGCCACCCACGTACCCTGGGCTGTTGCTCTGCACACAGGGGAGAGAGATAATATAATATGGTCATTTAGCAGGCTGATGCTTTTATCAAAAGGGACTTACAGTTAACAGGAACATATTCAGCATGTAGCTCATTCTGGAATCAAACCCACAACACTGTTTCATTTCATTCCAGTGATGTGGCGTTCTGTTGACCTCCCTGCTACAGTGCTAGCTTTCTTCCTCCCAAGGCCTCCTGCACTCTTTCCCCTGATAACATACAGTGGGGGAAAAAAGTATTTAGTCAGCCACCAATTGTGCAAGTTCTCCCACTTAAAAAGATGAGAGAGGCCTGTAATTTTCATCATAGGTACACGTCAACTATGACAGACAAATTGAGAAAAAAAAATCCAGAAAATCACATTGTAGGATTTTTAATGAATTTATTTGCAAATTATGGTGGAAAATAAGTATTTGGTCACCTACAAACAAGCAAGATTTCTGGCTCTCACAGATCTGTAACTTCTTCTTTAAGAGGCTCCTCTGTCCTCCACTCGTTACCTGTATTAATGGCACCTGTTTGAACTTGTTATCAGTATAAAAGACACCTGTCCACAACCTCAAACAGTCACACTTCAAACTCCACTATGGCCAAGACCAAAGAGCTGTCAAAGGACACCAGAAACAAAATTGTAGACCTGCACCAGGCTGGGAAGACTGAATCTGCAATAGGTAAGCAGCTTGGTTTGAAGAAATCAACTGTAGGAGCAAATATTAGGAAATGGAAGACATACAAGACCACTGATAATCTCCCTCGATCTGGGGCTCCACGCAAGATCTCACCCCGTGGGGTCAAAATGATCACAAGAACGGTGAGCAAAAATCCCAGAACCACACGGGGGGACCTAGTGAATGACCTGCAGAGAGCTGAGACCAAAGTAACAAAGCCTACCATCAGTAACACACTACGCCGCCAGGGACTCAAATCCTGCAGTGCCAGACGTGTCCCCCTGCTTAAGCCAGTACATGTCCAGGCCCGTCTGAAGTTTGCTAGAGTGCATTTGGATGATCCAGAAGAGGATTGGGAGAATGTCATATGGTCAGATGAAACCAAAATAGAATTGGTAAAAACTCAACTCGTCGTGTTTGGGAGGACAAAGAATGCTGAGTTGCATCCAAAGAACACCATACCTACTGTGAAGCATGCGGGTGGAAACATCATGCTTTGGGGCTGTTTTTCTGCAAAGGGACCAAGACGACTGATCCGTGTAAAGGAAAGAATGAATGGGGCCATGTATCGTGAGATTTTGAGTGAAAACCTCCTTCCATCAGCAAGGGCATTGAAGATGAAACGTGGCTGGGTCTTTCAGCATGACAATGATCCCAAACACACCGCCCAGGCAACGAAGGAGTGGCTTCGTAAGAAGCATTTCAAGGTCCTGGAGTGGCCTAGCCAGTCTCCAGATCTCAACCCCATAGAAAATCTTTGGAGGGAGTTGAAAGTCCGTGTTGCCCAGCGACAGCCCCAAAACATCACTGCTCTAGAGGAGATCTGCATGGAGGAATGGGCCAAAATACCAGCAACAGTGTGTGAAAACCTTGTGAAGACTTACAGAAAACGTTTGACCTGTGTCATTGCCAACAAAGGGTATATAACAAAGTAGAGAAACTTTTGTTATTGACCAAATACTTATTTTCCACCATAATTTGCAAATAAATTCATAAAAAATCCTACAATGTGATTTTCTGGATTTTTTTCCCTCAATTTGTCTGTCATAGTTGACGTGTACCTATGATGAAAATTACAGGCCTCTCTCATCTTTTTAAGTGGGAGAACTTGCACAATTGGTGGCTGACTAAAGACTTTTTTCCCCCCACTGTATATTGTGGTAACCCCAGTCCTTCATTTCTAAATCGAGAGGTGCCAGAACAAAAGTGAGTGCAAGAGGGAGGGAGGGAGGGGTCTCTGAGGTACCAGAGCGCATGAGAAAAAAAGTGACCAACAATAAAGCAGCACAGCAGACAAATCAAACAGGTATAGGGTATATTACACACGGCAGAAAAACCCATCGATTTAAGATGTCTTTGGTAAATAATTGGTCTACTGCAAAGTTACACAAACTCTAGTAATGGTCTTTGAATGTGGACTGTATTATTAAGCATAGGCCTAGACTACTGCATGGACCGGTTAGTGTAGGCTACGCTCCAAAAGTCCTATCGATGAGGCTGGGAGAGAACGCCGCAGGCCTCCACGATGAAGACAGTCCTCCAGAGTTAGGCTCTAATTACACTGGATTAGTCATAATAGGACCGAAGTCATAATTAACCAGGAGTCAACTTGATTTATTTTTGATCGCTCTTAATATCATTTTCACATTGCAAACAGTGAACATTGTTTCATGCCATGAGAAGTACCGGGTCAAAAGGTTCCAGAACGCAGGCGTCCAAAACAGAGAGGTGCCGGATCCTGGTCCTGCAGCCAGGGCTCGAAATGAAGGGCATTCTGTTGCTCCTGACCCAGACCTCTCTGTCTGTCTGTTTATGGCTGTCTGTCTGTCTGTTTATGGCTGTGTGTTTATGGCTGTTTGTCTGTCTGTTTATGGCTGTGTGCTTATGGCTGTTTGTCTGTCTGTTTATGGCTGTTTGTGAGTGTCTGGCTGGTTGGCACACACAACCAAGTGCGAGCACGTCTCTTTCCCTCACACTATTAGAAGTGTTCATCTCTGCCACCCACTCACCTTGCCTGTTGGACTTCAAGTCAACATACACAGTTTAATGCATACAGTAGTGGACCCTACCTCCTTGCTCTCTCTGGTCATTGTGGTTTTACCTGGGCTGCTGGCTACGTCAATTCTCCTCCCTCACTCCCCTCTTCCTCCTACCCTCTCGCTTTCGAGTCAGAAGTCATCATTGGTGCCCTGACAGTCTCATTTCTCAAGTTTGCGTTACACACACTGATATTTCCACCTGCGGTGACATCACTAGGCATCACAATGGTGACGCTGTAGGAAGGATAGCCACCCAGAGAAGAAACCCAGAGAGAGAGAAAGATCCCAGAGAGAGAACCCAGAGAGTGTAATGTTTACTGTTCATTTTTTATTGTTTATTTCACTTTTGTTTGTTATCTATTTCACTTGCTTGGCATGTAACATTTTTCCCAATAAGCCTTAATTGATTGGAGAATGAGAGAGGACATGGAATAAAAGTAGAGAGATGAATTGAGAGAGAGAGAGAGAGAGAGAGAGAGAGAGAGAGAGAAGGCAGAAAGAAAGAGCGAAAGCGTGGGCTGATGTGAAACATGGTCATGTACGTGTGTATGGGGGTGTGACACTTTTGGGCTGCCAAAACCGTTAATGCATGTGTATATGTGTGTGTGGGGGGAGACCTATATCTGTGTGTGGGTGAGTAGGTCTAAGAGTCTGTGGATTGTATCTGTGACGTTTCTATCCACCCTAACTAAGCCCTGGCTGTGTGTGAGGCTGGGGGAACCTCCCACGTGCCCCATGTCAGAGCCCAAACACTCTGCTACTATGGGCTATAGAGAAGGCGTTAAGGGGTAGACGTCTTGTAAGACATGCTCTAACACACTACTACATCCTTAATACATACTGTGGTTCCATACTAAAATGTTTAAAGACCAAGACGAGGCTGATGAAAGAGATAATAACATTTAGCTATAAAGTTGATCAACTATGAATAATTCACATTCCAAGTGCAGCAATGTGTTCACTCGTCTCGGCCACACTCCAACGTTCCAAAACGCTATTACGGGAGAACACCATTCTCAAACACGCGGTATCATGTTTCGACAGGGATTCCCGAGGGAAAGGGGCTAGCACGAGGGCCGAGGGGGTCAAATGTAAATGTTTGGACTGCAGCCCTAAATCTCACAGGCACAAACATAACTCAAGTCCCATTACCACAGTAACCTCCCACCCTTAAAGGGGCAGGTCAACATTTGTCTCTGTGATATTTAGGTTAAAATTAAATGTAATTAAACAATATACCACATGACTTCTTACTAGTAATACATGCATTGTTTTAGAAACATTACAAAGCATGCTCATCAGTTTTTGTGTTTGTGTTTTAGCAACAACAAAACATTTGGCTGGTTAAAAAAAAAAAAGTGACTGAAGAGGGAGGGTGAAGCAGAGAAAGTGAAGGCTGGGGAACACACGTTCTTTATATTGTTGTGTTATGTTGTTTACTGGGGCAGCTGGTGGTGGAATGGTTTGTTTAACTTAAGTTTATTCAGTTCACAATAACATTGTTCTCTCAGATATATTGTAAACGTGTGTTAGCATGTTCAATTAGTCAATTATAATTATGTAATGGATGTTTGTCTGTTTTCATTAAGATGCAAAAGGATGTTCTTAAATTAATTGTATGTAATATAGACTGTATCTGTCTCCGAAATACACCAATTACTTTAAAAGCACTGCAAATGACCTAGACTCATGTTGGCATATCAAAATACAAAAAAAATGAGCATTTTAATTTTGGGACGGTTTAAGTTCAGTTTGGGACAGTTGAAATTGCACTTCGGGACGGTGACGAAAAAGTTAGTTGCGAGCCCTGCCTGCAGCACTGGGTAACCCTGAGACATGGCAGTAGGCTCCTTTGGCATCTCAGGGTTAATCTTGTGGTTCCGATGGCTTACTGGGTTAGAACAGTGTTTCTCAACTCCGCTTCTCCAGTCCCCCCTACAGCACATGCCCCGGGCAAACTAGTCAATTAAAACTGAATTCCACCATGTACTTCACATCAACAGAGTTGAGCGGAGACAAGAGTGTGGACTGTATCTCTGACTACATCGAGTCTCTGACAGTTGATACTTGTAAAAATTAACGTTCTTAAACCCTTACCGTGTACCCATGTTTGTCCTCTGTAGCTGTGTGCCTTTATTTGCTGAAATCTATACTTATAATAAAACGTTCATCTGATACAACCACCGACTGTTTCCTCGTATCGACTGACAGCGACTCAATGTAGTCGGAGGTACACTCCGCCCACTCTCATCTCCGTTGATGTGAAGCACATCGTGGAGTTGAGTTTTACTTGGCTACTGACAAACATAGCTGACAAACATAGCCCATTCAATTCATCGAGGGCTTGATGACTAGTTGAAGGGGGTGTGATTGTCCGGAGCTACAATCAAAATGGTGTACTGTTGGAGGTACTGGAGGCCTGGAGTTTAGAAACACAGGTTTAGAGCATGGTGCTGGTTGTGGGTTTGATTCCCTCCTGTTTAGAGCATGGTGCTGGTTGTGGGTTTGATTCCCTCCTGTTTAGAGCATGGTGTTGGTTGTGGGTTTGATTCCCCCCTGTTTAGAGCATGGTGCTGGTTGTGGGTTTGATTCCCTCCTGTTTAGAGCATGGTGTTGGTTGGGGGTTTGATTCCCCCCTGTTTAGAGCATGGTGCTGGTTGTGGGTTTGATTCCCTCCTGTTTAGAGCATGGTGCTGGTTGTGGGTTTGATTCCCTCCTGTTTAGGCATGGTGCTGGTTGTGGGTTTGATTCCCCCCTGTTTAGAGCATGGTGCTGGTTGTGGGTTTGATTCCCTCCTGTTTAGAGCATGGTGCTGGTTGTGGGTTTGATTCCCCCCTGTTTAGAGCATGGTGCTGGTTGTGGGTTTGATTCCCTCCTCTACTCCTAGTTTCTTACCTTTAGGAGCCAGGTTGAGCATGTCTCCAGCATTCAGCGAGAGCTCCTCCTCCGACGCAGCTGTGAAGTCATACTCCGCCCTGGCAACCACATGGTCATCCTCCCCACTGGCCCAGTTGGTGACTGCATAGGGATTTAAATCAATCAAAATGTACTTATAGTCCTTGTAGGGAATATTAATGAAGTAAAAATGTAAATAAGACATCCTTTTGGTAAGGTGCTGACTAACGTAACAAACTAAGCAACTAAAATGTAAGTAGCACACTTCTGTCTTTCTTATGAGCATTCACAGAGCCAGATTAGCAGTGGATGTTGAGAAAACAGATGCGTCAGGGTAAGAGGCCACGAAACAGCGGATAACAGACAGGCAGGCAGAGACAGACAAGACAAAGGATATTCAGGAGGAGCCACAAACAGACAGTAGGGGGGCCTCACCGCTCTCCTCGGGCCCCTGGGCGGAGCTCAGCAGCTTCCAGATGAGATAGGGCCCTCCTAGGACCACGGCCAGAAACAGGAAGATAGGCCACGACTTGACCGCTCCGGCAATGGGGTCTTCCATTGCGGCTCCAGACCCTCTAGTCGCCAGAGCAGCTCCTTCACTGTCTGCCCACAGGTCCTCCACCTCACCGTCCCGCCTCAGCCCCAGCATCCTCTGTATGCGGCGGTACAGGTAGCGCAGAGTACGCACCAGGGCGAAGGCCGACAGAACCTTGGTAAAGTGCATCCGTAACCGTGTCAGGTGGTTGGCTACATCCAGCACGGCTCGGAAGCTGTTGTAGACGGCTGAGAATGTGGCGTCCATCATCATGCTGACCGAGGTGAAGGCCTGGACGATGCTCTCGATGGACTGGAAGGCGCCGCGGCTGCTCTCCTCTGCCTGTTGGACAAACCGACTGGGCGCCACGTCTTCACCACCGGTTTGGCCGAAGCGGCTGTATCCCAGGCTCCCACCAAGGCCGCCACCGAGCCCCCCTCCCATGCCGTAGCCACCACTGTAGGGGCTGTAGCCTCCACCATAGAGGCTGGCGCTACCGTAGGGGCTGTATGAGGAGCCGGGGAAGGAGCCGTAGGAGGGACGGTAGGACTGGACTGACTGGGCAGGGCGAGGGGGGACCGGGGGCACCATGCGGGTCAGGACGGGAGGGCCGGCGGGGCCAGAGAGGCCGAAGGTGGAGGGACCTGGTGGGGCAAAGTCAGTCGATCTGGTGGATTGAAAAGAGGGGCGTAACTTATAAAAGTGTGAACATTCAATTCAATCACGTGTTCGTGTTGTCAAAATTGTTGCAAATAAAACGCCTCAAAACGTGTTTCCTTTGGTTTCGTAGTTAAAGATAAGTCAGAGCAATCTATGAGTGTTAACGTAATGGGTTACATCCCTAGTAGCTAGCTAGATAACAAAACAAATGACATGCCAGTCACAGGTAACGTCAGCTAGCTAACTAGATTGGAACTCGGTGGGCACTTGTGGTTGAATTATTATCCACTGCTAGCGTAGAGTCCAATACTAAACTATTGTGAAATATAGAAATCTAGCTAGTTCTGTCCGTCAGGCAAACGCAATACTGAGCAAAACAACAGGCTCCGACCTAGTTAGGGCCTGGGCCTAGACCTAGATTAGAAGCTAACGCTAGCTAGCTAACTCATACATAGTCCATAGACAAAATCTCGTCAAGTAAGCAATAACTTGTTTACCGATAGTTGACTGGTGCACTCATGGCTGCTCCTGGAATCCGCCTTTCCCACGGTTTAGGAGGAGGCTGCGATGCCATCGTACAAACTCTATCTGAAGTTACACCGTTTTCAATCCCTTCCCCACTTCCCCGTAGCAACTAGCTAATTGCTATCTAGCTCCATGCCTGGGCCAGACCAAAATAATCAAAAAGACGATACGGAAAACGTTTGAAACAATACATCATTGGTTTGAAAGCATAAAGCCAGAGAGGATTTCTTTTATAACGCATTTTATATTGAATTTTCATTCTATCTCGGCAAGTTTAACGTCTCTGAAGTCAACAACTTTGTTGTATCTTTTCGTCTTTGATTAGTAGAGACTAGAGGATTTTGGATCCATTGCATAAATCAATTTTCGCCAGTAGAAGTCGTCTTCTTCTTCGATGAGGTTTAACGGCGGTTGGCATCCAATACTTTGCATTACCGCCACATACTAAATAATAATAAGCAATTTGGCAGACGCTTTTATCCAAAGCTATACAGTGCATACTACCCTGACGTTACAAGCGCCGTGCTCTACCAGCTGAGCTACAGAGGACCAACGGAGGACTTACTAGACTGGAGTACAACTCCCTTATATTTTGCTTGAAAAATAAAATTACAATAGAATATAATAAATAAATACCCTACCATCTAACGCTACACTCACAAATTCGAAAAATGTGTATAAAAATAAAATGTACACCACCCTAAATCTATTTATTCCTACCTCGTGCCCTCAACCTGAAGGAATGGGACATCGCCACTTAACACACCCTGTAGCTCTTACATTTAACATGTTAGTCATTTAGCAGACGCTCTTATCCAGAGCGACATACAGTTAGTGAGTGCATACATTATTTTTATTTTTCATACTGGCCCCCCGTGGGATGAATGAAAGCACTGAGATTAAAATAAATCTATAATTGGCACTATGCAGTAGTCATTTTGTGTACCAAAAGCAAACTAAACTGAATTATTTGTGGCCAGTTATAACATAATTCCACCAATGCATCCTACTCAGTATGGTGGCTGGACCTATACACTCTGTATCTACTGAGGGCATGTTAACACTGGAAAACTTACATTCAAAGGTTTATAGAATCAGCATGGAGAAAATAAATAAGATATGACAAACAAAAGGAAGAATGTGTGGCAGACACATTTGAGTTGCTGAACAGCAGGCATGTTGTGTATATTTGTATCAACTACTGTACATTAAAAATGATGTCTTCATTCAAACTTTCCCTTTCCCCTAACTACTATAGTACTTCACCCTGTCCTACAGAGCATTTAGATGTACTACTCTTTCTGCTTCGGCATAACTATCTGCTGGGATGTTTTCCTGTTAATCAATGGAAACCTGCAGTAGCTACTAGCATCACTATTCACACCCTTTCGCCAAGAGACCACCTCCTTTAGAGAAAATTATTTGGGGCTACTAAATATGACAAAAATTAGGTATAACTAGAGTAGGCTGGAATACAAGCAAACTTCTCCTGAATTGATATTTTTCTAAGTCTGGGCTGAAAATTATTCCAAACTCCATGTAATAAAAAATAAAAAAATCTGAACAACAGTACCACTTCATTCAAAGTCACTGCAGCTCTCAATGCCAATTGAAAGATGTACTGCAGATATGTAGCTTATTTTGGTTCAGGTACAAGTCACCATGAAATTAACTGACTTGGAGTAGAGAACAGTAGAGAAACTCTTCATTTCTCAAAGCACAATCTCTCAGTCTAAGCTAAGGCATCTATATAGAAATCTAAGAGATTCCAAACCCTCAGGCCCTGTGCCACTCCAATACCAGCCACCTCAGTGTTTGTGCAGTACAGGTTATCAACAGCTTTTTAAGAATAATTTATTTCGGAAGTACAACACTCAGATTCATTACTGTTCGAAGCCAATCTGTGTCAACAGGTAAAAGGTTCCCAATCATTTATGAATTATGAACCCTCCAAAAGCACGCTACTGGGGTGAGTCAGTGTCAAGATAAAGTGGTACAAATAACTAAAGGGGAAAAAAACAGTTGAAAGGAGATAGCGAGGCATACAATGGATGCAGAGGAAAAGAGGGCATTATAGCACATGAAGACATTGTAACAAGTAGTCAATAGGATCATTTTGATGCAACTTCCAGGCACTGGGTTTAGAAAGAGCTGGTGGAAGGCGTGGTGAGTCGCTTCCCAATGTAGACCCTATATCCATTTGATTTGCTAGTTGTGTAAGATGGTACAGTCACTCACCCGATGCCGAGGGCAAGGATGTGAGATAGGAGTAAGGAAGGGATGAAGACTTTGAGGAAGTCAGCAGAGAAGACACCCCCTTTCTTCATGGCTCCACTATTTCTCATGCTGAGGGATACTGAGCGTCTGGGGTGCCGGAAGTGGAACACCTTGGGTGGAACATTTTCGGGCCGACTGGACCAATCTGCAACCCAGTCTGCACCCTTGTTCATCAGGATATCATCTTCTCGGTCTTTCTCTGGGCCTTCCTCCTCCGACTGACTCCCTCTCCGACTGGACATCTCCACATCAAAGGTGATTTGGCCGTCATCCTGATCCGGACTGGGAGGTCGGTGAGGACTGTCGCAGGAGGAGCTGCTCTGGCTGGGCTCGTGCTGGGCGTCCAGCAGGATCTTCTCCATGTCTCCATTGTGGATAGAGGAGGATGAGGGCACACGCTCCAGCACCCCTGTCAGACTCTCCTCCACCTCCTCTGGCACCACCTCCAGGGCCTGAGGGGCCTGACTCTGCCCCTCATTCCCGTTCCCAGGGGCAGGAGACGGTGTGGTGGAGTTTGGCAGCAGGGCCTGGTTGCCGTTGTTTCCATTCATCTCCAGCTCCACCCATGACCCGTTGAGGCCAGGCTCCTCGTTATTGTTTTGCTGAGCAGCAGCAACTCTTCTGATGTCAGGTCTCGCACACCCAAATACCTCTCTGCAGCTGCCACCACAACCTCAATTTTCTTAGACTTACGTTCCATCCCTGCAGTACAATTAATAACCATTGCTATAAATGCTAAAAATAAAATCTTACTGAAACATACATCACTTGTTGGCCTATCCCTCTGCACTGGTACAGATCTACTACTCTCACCACTCTTCCCTCTTGACCCATCTTCCTCTACACTTCTTCACTGCCTCAGCATATGACAACTTCTGCACTACTCTTACCCTGGAAACCTCAACCTGCCTCTCTCGCACGGGACATTTCTGATCCCCAGCCCCATGGGCACCCCATACAATTAGCACATACCACTACTTTCCCCAATGCTACACATTCCTTTGTCTCATGCCCTTCTGCACACTTCTCACACCTTGGAAACTCCCTCCAACACACTGCTGCCAAATGCCATAAGTTTGACACCTGTAACACCGTAATGTATTCGGCACATAAGCTCGTACAGGATACCTTATATATCCTAACTTCACTTTATTGGGCAAAGACTCAACTTCAAAACTCAAAAGAACAGACAATGACTCTTCTGTTTCCCCACTCTCGCCACCCTGTTTGCATCACACCAAACGACGAGCATCACAAACACCGGGAATCTTCCCCTTCAGTTGGTCAACTTTTACATTTACTGCTACCCCAGTAATCACTCCTTTCAATGGCACCCTTTTCTTGCCCCCATTTGTTTAACTCAGAGCGCCTTCTCCCTCTGACCAGCAGAAACACAAACAATTATCACTAGACCACTTCTGGTTACCCTCACCGATTCCACTATACCCAACTATTTTTTCACCCACCCTGAAACCACAAATGGCAAAAGGCAAGGGTCCGCTTTTTCCAAAAACGTCACTCCTACTGTCACATACTCATCTTTATCCTGACCTTCGGTGCAAGCCTCGGGCTCCGAGTACTTCACCACACCTACCACCTCCAATACTTCACCCTCATTCACTTCCATTTATACTCCTGTCTTCAGCTCACTCTGCTTACATTTTCTACCGTTCTTCTTTAACAAACCTTCTCCCTTTTTCCCGCCATTTCTAACCGACTCAAGCTCACAATCTTCCTCCCTCTCTCTTAGACCTCCTCTGCCTCTCTTTTTTCCCTCCATTCCTCCTCCGTATTCCAAGTATACGTCTCCTTATGATAATACTGCACTTCTCCTGACATACATCGTGTTCTTGCTTTCTCAAGGGACGCCATTTACGAGGCTCTCCAACCAAATCTTTGTCTAAAGTTACTTCCACCATACTGCTGGTTTGCACCAGGGGACTCTGGCATCGCTGCCTATCTCTCCATTTTCTTATCTTGTTCCTCGCTAACCTGTCCGAAAAGTTCAGCGCTCTCTCCAGTAGAAGTCGTCCTGAGGCTGATGGAAATTATACTAAAGTATGAAAGGTGAGGTGGGACAGTTTTTTCAACTGAGAGAAGTGGGAGCGAAAAATACACAACTCAGAAAAATTTACAGTTGGTGTATTTGACCGACAGAACCAATACTAAGATAACATTTACCACATTTATTGTTCATGTCAAATGATCTCAATCGTAAAAACAATTATATAAAACAAGGTCTATTTTTTTGAACATTGTATTATTTATGATAATCTGAATGTCAGACTGCTCTTCTCCTTTGCTGTTAACAATGCAAAAAAATCTAGACAATACTAACACTGTCCAGAGAAGTGTATTGTTTTCCCAGACATTTTAAAAATTCAAACAGGCATAATTCACATGTAGAAATAACATTTATTTCAATAAACAGACTGAGCAAACTTGTACAAACAAAAAAATAAAAAATAATCATAAAATAATAATCATACACAGGGTGGTCTATTCAGGAATTATATTACAGAGATTGTTATAAAGATTAAGGGCTTGTTTGGATTGAACGAATTTCAAAGATTGTTTATATAACTTTACCTCATTTCAGAAGACAATGAGGTAGTTAAAAATATATATATTTGTGAATTAAATATTTTGCCATGATGATCAAGTTATTATACTGTACATTCACCTTTCCTGTCCTCCATTAGAAAAGCATACCTGATATTATTCAACGTTAAAGTGGGTAGGAATAGATCATTATATGTGATCCAGTACTGAAATGCATCCCAAAAGGCTTTAGTAGGTTGACATGTTCTGCCGTTTCAATATCTGAGTTACAAAACACACAAAGGTTAAAGTCAAAGGTGAATCTCTGTCTTAAGAAATCACTACATGGGTAAATGTCATTCATTGTTTTGATATTTAACTTCCCGCTATGCCCCGCGACGAACCATCAAACAGGCAAAGCGTCAATACAGGACTAAGATTGAATCATACTACACCGGCTCCGACGTTCGTCGGATGTAGCAGTGCTTGCAAACTATTACAGACTACAAAGGGAAACACAGCTGCGAGCTGCCCAGTGACACAAGCCTATCAGATGAGCTAAATTACTTCTATGCTCGCTTTGAGGCAAGCAACACTGAAGCATGCATGAGAGCATCAGCTGTTCCAGACGACTGTGTGAAAACGCTCTCCGTAGCCGATGTGAGTAAGACCTTTAAACAGGTCAACATTCACAAGGCCGCAGGGCCAGACGGATTATCAGGATGTGTACCTCGAGAATGCGCTGACAAACTGGCAAGTGTCTTCACTGACATTTTCAACCTGTCCCTGACTTAGTCTGTAATACCAACATGTTTCAAGCAGACCTGTGCCCAAGAACACTAAGGTAACCTGCCTAAATGACTACCGACCCGTAGCACTCACGTCTGTAGCCATGAAGTGCTTTGAAAGGCTGGTCATGGCTCACATCAACACCATTATCCCAGAAACCCTAGACCTACTCCAATTTGCATACCACCCCAATAGATCCACAGATGATGTAATCTCTATTGCACTCCACACTGCCCTTTCTCACAAGGAACACCTATGTGAGAATGCTATTAATTGACTACAGCTCAGCGTTCAACACCATAGTGCCCTCAAAGCTCATCACTAAGCTAAGGACCCTGGGACTAAACACCTCCCTCTGCAACTGGATCCTGGACTCCCTGACGGGCCGCCCCCAGGTGGTAAGGGTAGGTAACAACACATCTGCCATGCTGATCCTCAACATGGGGGCCCCTCAGGGGTGGTGCTCAGTCCCCTCCTGTACTCCCTGTTCACCCATGACTGCATAGCCAGGCACGACTCCAACACCATCATTAAGTTTGCTGACAACACAACAGTGGTAGGCCTGATCACCGACAACGATGAGACAGCCTATAGGGAGGAGGTCAGAGACCTGGCCGGGTGGTGCCAGGATAACAACCTCTCCCTCAACGTGATTAAGACAAAGGAGATGATTGTGGACTATAGGAAAAAGAGGACCGAGCACGCCCCCATTCTCATCGACGGGGCTGTAGTGGAGCAGGTTGAGTGCTTCAAGTTCACACCAAACAGACCAAGACAGTCGTGAAGAGGGCACGACAAAGCTTATTCCCCCTCAGGAGACTGAAAAGATTTGGCATGGGTCCTCAGATCCTCAAAAAGTCATACAGCTGCACCATCGAGAGCATCCTGACTGGTTTCATCACTGCCTGGTATGGCAACTGCTCGGCCTCCGACCGCAAGGCACTACAGAGGGTAGTGCGTACGGCCCAGTACATCACTGGGGCCAAGCTTCCTGCCATCCAGGACCTCTATACCAGGCGGTGTCAGAGGAAGGCCCTACAAATTGTCAAAGACTCCAGCCACCCAAGTCATAGACTCTTCTCTCTGCTACCACACGGCAAGCGGCATCAGTGAGCCAAGTCTATGACCAAAAGGCTTCTTAACAGCTTCTACCCCCAAACCATAAGACTCCTGAACAGCTCATCAAAAGGCTACCCGGACTATTTGCATTGTTCCCCCCCCCCTTTTATGCTGCTGCTACTCTCTGTTTATTCTCTATGCATAGTCACCTTAACTCTACCTACATGTACACTACCGTTCAAAAGTTTGGGGTCACTTAGAAATGTCCTTGTTTTCGAAAGAAAAGCAAATTTTCTGTCCATTAAAATAACATCAAATTGATCAGAAATACAGTGTAGACATTGTTAATGTTGTAAATGGCTATTGTTGCTGGAAACGGCTGATTTTTAATGGAATATCTACATAGGCGTACAGAGGCCCATTATCAGCAACCATCAGTCCTGTGTTCCAATGGCACGTTGTGTTTGCTAATCCAAGTTTATCATTTTAAAAGGCTAATTGATCATTAGAAAATCATTTTGCAATTATGTTAGCACAGCTGAAAACTGTTGTGCTGATTAAAGAAGCAATAAAACTGGCCTTCTTGAGACTAGTTGAGTATCTGGAGCATCAGCAATTGTGGGTTCGATTACAGGCTCAAAATGGCCAGAAACAAATAACTTTCTTCTGAAACTCGTCAGTCTGTTCTTGCTCTGAGAAATGAAGGCTATTCCATGCGAGAAACTGCCAAGAAACTGAAGATCTCGTACAATGCTGTGTACTACTCCCTTCACAGAACAGCGCAAACTGGCTCTAACCAGAATAGAAAGAGGAGTGGGAGGCCCCGGTGCACAACTGAGCAAGAGGACAAATACATTAGAGTGTCTAGTTTGAGAAACAGGCGCCTCACAGGTCCTCAACTGGCAGCTTCATTAAATAGCTCTCAGGGGATAACTAACATCCCCTAGCATGACTTTATCAGGCAAATACTGCAATATCAAAACTCAAAAGGATAGACATGGTCTCCTCAGTCTCGCGCTCGCCACCGGGTCTGCTTTGCACCAAACGGCGCGCATCAGACACCAGGGATCCTGAACTTCAGTTGATCCATCTCAATACTCAAAGCCATAGAGGGATTCTTTAATAAAGCACTGATATTGTATTTTGGCTGTAGCATTTTGGT